ACTGCGCTGTCTTCTCACAAAACAAGCATATTTCCAGCTAATGTGCATGTTCTCTCAATTTCTCAGAAAGCAGCATTCAAAATTAACTTGATTGCAGAAATGGATAATGTATGCTGTGATGATTATGAATTTAGTAAAACTCCTCTAAGGTCCTTATTATGGATGAAGTTTGAGGTGATTCCATATTTTGTATGGAAAAAAAGTATAAAATGATATGTGAAACACTCCCTGTTTATTTAAGCATGAAAATATCCCGAAGAAGAGGAATAATAAACACCATGGCATTACTTGTTATCTGTAATGGGGGCTTTTAGGCTGTAATGACCCAGCTAACTCAATAAAACATCCTCTGGCCTTTCGCCTGCTTGAGCTACTTTTGCTGTATCTCTCAGTTATTCTGATCATTTTTTTTGATGTGGTCACACCGAGTTTAATCTCTCCATCTCTTTTTGTCTGCACTGAACAAGCTGACAGACGGCTTTAGCTGCAATGATGAAACACAATGTACTGGTCCGAGTGTCCACAGCAGCCACTGTTATTGTTGGCTCTTCTATCCATCATCTCTTCCTCTCCCCTCATCGCTCTTCCTCCTCCTGCCAAAGGCCTGAAAGCTACACTCTTTGTGAATGTCACACAATGCACACCGCAGCATTGTCTGTATCCATCCATGTCTTCGCTCTCCCCTCCATCCTCGCTGATCAGGAGAACCTCCCTTTCCTGTCTCCCTTCTTTTGTCCCTCCCTCAATCCCACCACTCCCGCTACCAGGCTCCCAGGCTGCGTTGCATGCGCCTCCCTTCCCCCTCCCTCGGTGCTCCATTGTGAGTGCTTGGTTCAGCAGCCCCAGCCTCGCTTCTTCTGCAGTATGCAGCTCTGCCTCGCTGTTGAGACTGTGCAGCCCAAGCCAAGCATGGCACGGCCTCCTATTTGGGCTCAGGGGAGGGGTAGGGAAGGGAAGTTAAGCACTTCTATAGCTGCAGGAAAACAAGACAGCAGCAGGACTCCAGAGCACATCTTCAGACAGAAAAACCCAGAATATTTACTGGCGTCTATTGATTTGTTTTATTCGCGCTTCAAAAATGCCTTTCCCTTCCTTCTGGTCTCTATTGTGATGTGCCAAAATTCATTATAAAGAAACAGCTGACGAATCACAGTTTCTGAACATCTCTGATTGCCTTGACTGCAAGCATATATTGTGAAAAATCTGATTTACTTTCCCTATTTACTGAATGCATCATATCTAAGAGCTCTCATCATTTTCTGTCCAGAAATGCATCACCTGACATGAATTACGGTGCACTTCTGTGAGTTTAATAAAAACAAAAAAACTAAACTAAAAGGGTATCAGCCTGCAAATTATTAATTTTCTCTTGGATTCCAAAAGTACTATTTCATTTTTGTGTCTTTTTTTTAAATCTATTTTCTTTAGAAAGAAAAATATAAGTCAATCCAAATGGAACTGCAATGTCAGATTTTGAGGAAAAGAGAAAAACTATTATGGTCAGAAAAATTATGATCTAAACAGATGTTTAAAAAGAGGACAAACAAATTATTTTATTTGAGATAATTCAAAATATATTTAGATTTTGCATTAAACAGAAACAACAACTACTTCCCTAAACAAAATCAGCAGTTATTGAGTCTGCATTATATTTGCAATTTAAACTCTGGCTGCCAAAATCAAACATATCCTAAAAACAAAGTGTCAAATAGCTGTCAACATCTTGCATAAAACGCTGTATACCAATAAGAAATATGAAAGGCTGAGAGAACATTTAGTCGTATGTTGTTGTTTTCTAGAGCTGTCATTTGTCTGGATTTAATGCCCCTCCTCTAAAATCCATCCAATGAGCTCTGAGCTGCTGCAATCTGTGACCTTTGGCGACTCGTAATTCTCTCTGCAGATGTGCCCTTGGAGGATTGGAACAAAATCTGACACGGCTTTTAAGTGTTGCATTCAACCACCTGTAAAATCACACAAATACATGACAAAAAATAAAGCTGCAGACCAGATCTTTTTATGTAACTGTGCATTTCACTCCACTGGCATATCTCTCTGTCTTTTTTTAATGTTTCTATCTCCAGAGATGTAGATAGAAACACTGGATAAACTAACTCTCGTGCAAAGTTTAATATTTAAGTCTTTGGAAAGTGAGATTGTTTAGAAATATATTGATTTATTAATTTTTTCAGTAAACATCATAGATCCAAATGTGTATATACGTCATCTTCTAAATAAAGAATACGCCTAGACCAACAATTTAATGCTTTCTGGTTGCCTCCTCTGTCCTCTCAACCAACAGTCGGCTGTTTTAGATGGGGACTCCTACTAAACCTGGTTCTGCTGGGGCTTTCCCCCGTTATAAAGGAGAGGTTCCTCTCCACTGTCGCCCAATAATTGGATGAGGGATTACAGCAAAGTCAATTAATCAATGAAACTGGCAGGTAGATAAACTCATTTTTGCAAACTGTGGCAATATATAATCAACTTAGAAATGGTGAGAAAATCAAAAACATTAAAAATCAATCTTCCTTGAATGAATTTGAAATATATTTGTTAAATATTGATACTGATGCATTATAAAATATTGTATTGACTACTTGCGATATTTCTAATAGAAATTTACAACTTCCAGTACATCACAATCAGAATGCTTTTATTGTTATTGTACCGAAGCGCAATAATTTCAATGCAGCTCATCCAAAGAAGATGAGGTAGATGGTTCTGCAGCTGTTGAAGGCACTGCCCTTTACTTATTTAAGTCCTAATTAATATATTTCAGTTTTTGTGACATTAAATATATCAATCCCCAATGGAATACTTTTTTTTCACTTTGTTCCATTCAAATTTTTAACAATATTTAAATCTGAATTTTCTGTATGACTCAAATATTTCTTTTAAATTAGCTTTTTACCTTTTTTATTTGCAATGTGGAACCATACTTCATAAAAAAGACAAGATTGTTTTGGAACTGAATTTAACTGGATTTAATTTTATTAAAATTTGTCAGGGAAAAATACTCAAAGTCAGGGCTAATGCCAGCCATCATTATTGATCCCTAATCATCCTTCATTCCATACAGCTTTGACATAATGAATATTTAAAGGAGTAATAAATTTCAAGTGGCAAATGTAGGAAAAAAAAAAAGTTTTTGATCTTGACTGTTGTAGATTTTAATTGCTCTTAGATGTAATCTTATGTTGTTTGGGGTTTGGGAGAGCATGTTTTTTCTAGTCTTTATCTTTTTAAACTTGACTTTTTACACCAAATTTGGGGAAACTATGCAATGCATTTAATAATAGACATTTAAAAGTAATGTTCTATATTCTATATGAAACAAAGACAGATAATTACCATGGATTATTAAAAGTTGTACAAATGTTACTGTATATTTCAGCACATGGATGAATGAAGCTATAGATGAATATTGTTTATTTTGCTACTATCACCTAATATAATTCTATAACTAAGGATGGGCATTCTGGTGTTCCTAAATCTGAAGAACAAGATGGAAATGAATCACAAGTTTTACAGCACAGCATAACATTCCTTTGCTTGTGGCTGTTTCCATTAACGATTCTGCATTGCATAAACAAGCTACCTCTTCAGAAATCAATGCCGTTAATTGCCAGTTTGTGCAGACCTGCAGAAGCAACTTTTTTTTTTTTTTTTTTTTAACTCTATAGTGCGAGAACAATTTATATTCACAAGAAATAGCTAGTTTCCAATATTTGGAGAGCACTATTCTTCATACACTTTAAGAAGGCCTAGCACAAAAATGACAGACAGATGTCATTCTCGTCAGCTACTGCAGAAACAAACCGTGTAAAGCTTTGGCGAATCAAGATCCGTTCCCTGCAGCTCTTTCCCAAGCCTGCCTACTGAATAATTCAGCAGCCAAGGTCATGGCGCTAAAAACCCGCTCTTATCTGTTTTTAATGCAGACAGTTTGTTATGACACCTTTAAATCTTTATCAATATCCCAGCAACCCTCCAGTAATGAGCACAATGAGAATCTTTCCCCAAACAAAAACAATTTAAGAGTTTAATGATGCAGCTGGAATGATACATTCTATTTCTACATACATGTGCAATCAGTGTACTAGATCAAGTTTAATAAGGTGCCTTTGCAGTGCCCCAGTAATGTGCACTAAAATTTCCCCCCAAATAGATAATTTACACAACACTATATAGAACACAACACAAGACTATGGCTAAAAAAAAACATCATATCCATTTTACATCTTATGTTTTCAGAACAAGGCCAAAGAAATTTATATAAACCACAAACAATAACAGCTGCAGCATCCAAACCACAGCAGAAAGGAGAATACCGAAATAAAAATATCCCAAATCAGTCCCAACTGTTTGACTGAAAGCACTACACTTGTACTATCTATGATGTTCTCAGACTTCTGAAAGATCCAAAGCTGGTCCGGCATCCTGGAGAAGTAGTGATGCTCTGCATAATGCACAAGGTGCGCAGCTGACTTCTGAGAGGGAGGAGAGACAAGCAAGCGCTGCATGATGGCCTACAGTACTTAGACTTGTGTTATGAAGATTAGTCATCCAACATCCATTTGCAGGTGCCTAATCAAAAATGCAAATTGTGCCTTTTATGTTCAAATATTGCAATTGTGTAAAAGGTTTTGAGTTACATACCTTTAGATCATGACTAACTGCAGTATTTTGTCTGCTTCTTAGAAGGAGAAATTTTACCCCATTAGGTGATGCTCCTTTTTTTTTTTCTTTGTTTGCAAGTAGAGTCCAGCCAATGAAGGAGCCCTGTGATGTTTTAGGCATTTCCATAAAATTGCTTGTAAAACATGTCTATGGTTAGATTTCTGCTTATTATTAAATCCCCTCACCAAGACACCGCTACAGTGGACTTCATTAACCTTCAATTTGCAATCAATATGTATCACTCCACCTTCCTGGCAACTATAGTGCGGTGGTGATGGTGGTGGTGGGGGGGCATTGACAATTTTCAGCGGCCTTACCATTCCGTGCCAGCTGATGACGATCCCAGTCCGGAGACAGTCCCTTTCAAAACATCCCGACGAGAAACATCGCAGTGACCATCGCTGGAGGCGTAATAAAACACGTTCATGCGGATGAGCAAAAAGGCGTTTTTTTGTTTGTTTGTTTGTTTGTTTTTTCTTTTCTTTTCCTTTCTTAAAGACGAAGGAGCGATGAAGAAAGAAAACCAACTAAAAAAAAAAAAAAAAAAAGCAGGGATGGACGGAAACTGAGGTTTGCTGATGCTGAATCACTCTTCCCTCCCAGCTCACCACCTTGCAACCATTGTGCTGCAAGATGCTGGCCGTACCATTGTAAGCCTACCAGAGCTCGGAGAAGGAGAGGGAGGGATGGGAAAGAAAAAATAAGGGGGGGTCCGGGGGGCGGAGGGGGATGTTGCCATAGCAACCGCCCAGGAGCACGTCTGACGTCAAAGCCTCGGCAGAGGGAGAGAGACGGTGCTGAGAGGAAGCGATCACATGGAGGCTGTCCCTCCAGATGGGAGGGGTGAAACGTCTCCTCTGTTCTCACTCTGCACTGTCCCGCCGTCCAATTAGGAATTTGTAGTTTTGTGGTGCAGCTGTTAGCGGGGCAGGTGTGTCCGACGAGCCAAATGTTTATCAGGAATCAGCGAAAACTTTGTTGTACAAAGAAGCACAGTCCCTCATTGGAGGAAAACAAAAATACATTTCATAGCTTAGAACATATTATTACAGAGGCGTAACTTCCTGAAGGACTGGTGTGGACGTGTCCCCACAAATATTCCCTACTCCTGTCTTTCTTTATGTGGCTGACTCGGCTTAAATTTCTTTGTAAAACGTAAACGACAAGTCAGCTCAGTGAGCTCGTGGATTGGACGTCACGTGACTCACTGCGCCGTTGCTTTGCGTTGAGACGGGAATATCGGTGAAATGAAACGACACAATCAAGCAAAGAATCTGAGAAAGGCACGCAAAGTTTTTATATCTATTGGAAACGCTACGACGACAAGAAAACAAGGTCCAAGGGAATCACTTCCAGCTTTAAGTGAAAATGTATATTAGAAAGTGGAGCGTAGAGTGGGTTAGGTTAGCTTAGCTATGCTAGCTTAACTTTTTATCAACATTCACCCTTGAGGAGTTCGGAGTATTTCAGGTTCTATTAACACAAAATAACTACACACATTTTCTGTCAGATAATTAGAAGTGTGGTTAATTTAGCTAATCAACCACCGCTAGTGTTCAGGTGATCACTTTGGTGTTTTTACATACTGTTTAGTGAAATGTTTTGTATGTGTTGTTTTTTTAGTATTAATTCCTGACGCACTTGAACTAATCTTTGCTCTGCTCTAGTGGAGCCGTTATTATTGGTTGCCTTGGCAACGTGTCTAAGAGTGACGTTAGGCTGACAGGCTGGGAAAAAAATAACACAATCGCCCGTTTTTCTACATTTTTTCCCCCCTGGACTAATTGCACGATTGAACGTGGCAATATTCAGAGCATCATAAAATAGGATGAAATATTTTATAAAGCATAAAGAGACGAAGTTTGTTACATTTTAAACCAAGGCTCCTACAGCGACAATTAAGTAACATTAAATTATTGGTCAATATAAAAGAGAAATTCGCTTGGTTCTCTCTTGTATCAGAACTGTCAGAAACCAAACTATTGATAGATTTATATGCAGAGAGTACATATATATATTACATGTCCAAACATCGCAGCTTTAAGTCACATTTTATGAAAACCTGTAAAATGTGACCCATACACTTGGTGAGTAGTCACTCTACTCACCAACTGCCCCAACCAGACCCAAAACGGGTTTTTGTGTCTTTAATATTTGCTATGTTGACGCAAATATACTCAGTAAATACAGTCATTCCATAAATTAGGATATGATTGAAAATGTCTGTGTTTGTAATTCCATCTCCAAGTGAAAGATGTTATATAAATTAATTTGATGAAGTAGATGTTTTAACATATTTATGCAACTTTTGGCATTATTCTTAGCATTGAAAAAGAAACGGCCTTTCGGTAACTGGGTGTATAACCTGGTTGTATTTTTCTGTTATAATTACACAAAATGTCTTTTTTTGGTTATTTGTATTGTTCCTTACCTGGCTCCAACGCTGCTAAAAAAAAAACTCATTGTTTTAACTGTGTTACTTTAAGACCAGAAGCCCCTCCTTTTCATTTCTTCTTCTGTGGTATTGTCTTTTGAATTGTTTGTGCCCCTCGGACCCTCCCCGTTCTGTCATGTTGTCTTGCGGGAGAGGTGTATGCTGTTTATTTTTAATCTAAATAGATCCAGGTATTAATAGATCTATTAAGTTGATTTTTGTTATGTACTTTTGTGTAGGACTTGGAGCGGGCAGCCTGTAACATGGTTGTTTTCTGTATGTTGTTCTCGTCAGAATAAATCAAGAAACCATCCTTTTTAAAGACAAACCGTGTCACGGCCTGATTAATCGATAAAACCAGCACAGCGCTGAAAGGATCCCGTTAAAGGTGCATCAGCGCTAATTAGAGCAAAGCTGGTTTTGAAATCAGATAGAAACTTCAAATACAAAGCTTGGAATTCATTTTGCAAAATGGACCTAGCTTCTTGCTGTAGTTGACAGATGTCAAAAATTAGAAATTATTTTTTGAAATGGATGTTTATTAGAAAATATCAAATTATGCTACTACAGTTCCCTTTTACAAATCACAGTGTAAATCAGTTACTGCCCTATGCAAGACTTGAAGGGTCAAGGTGAGTAGTGCAATAGTCACCTTGGAAACTGAACCCACACATGCAATGATAAGTGTGATGTCAGTTTTTAGTCCCTTCAGAGTGATTTATGTAGATAGGCAGGTATTTCAGGGAAACGCTTGATATTTACCGCATTTACCAGGCATGGGCTGGGTCAGATAACTAAAACAACAATGACGTGAAGGGCCGTGTAATAATGACTAATAATCACTAGATGGCGATAGACAAATCATAAACAAACTCAACTTTGAAGTACTACGCGGGAAGGAAATACTCAGCTGTGAATTGCTTCCTGAGTGTGCCGAAAATGAATCACTTTGATGCCTGTGGGAAGCCCACGGTCTCGATTTTCACTGAGTTTCAAAGAAATATCGGCTTCCACAACAACAGGATGGAAAGAGATAAAAGCATGTTTTCATAGAATTGTATATATATAAAATTATTCATGTCATATGATAAGGTGGCATCTGTAATGACTTTCAGAAAGCCATCCTTCTACAAGTAAATACAATGTTTATCAGCCTTTTTTCTAGGCTGTCAAGAAGGGTGCAACAACAGGTGCAGAGGTAGTATGTTGTGTTACTTTAAGTAATACAATCCCCAGAAAAATTGAGGATTTTTTATTTATTTATTTATTTTTGCTGCAATTTTGTATTTATAAAGTTGTATACAACTTGTAAAATGTTGCCTGTTGATGTTGTTGATATGATCCTTTCTGATATTTGAATGTGCTGGAATCACAGTATATGCAACTGCAAACAGTCAATAATATAATAAAACAACAACAAAACCTATGTGTGCCTGTATGCAAAACCAATTAAACAGGCCTTCACTCTGAAATGCTCAACTTTAGAAGTCGATTGTCAGATCAAGCAAGGTTGTCAGAGAAATAGCCCTTATTTCAGGATATAACATTTCCTATTTATTCACTAAATAGCGTAAATGGAACACTATGAAGATATGAAGATACTTGTTTGCTTACAAGATTTATATGTAAACCATAAAATATGAATCATTTCAAGGTAAAAACAAACAAACAAACAAAAAGAAAACAAAACATTTACATTTCGGACATAAGCCAGAACGCCGCCAAAAAAATTCCTCATCTGTTGCTACTTCTTTTGTGTTTGCCTATGTTTTATTATTTTTGTGTCATGTCACGCTACATTTATGGTAATTGAAGGGAGGGGATTTGAACGCCACAGAAAATTTAATAAACCAGATTCTGCTCAACATTTCCCTCCCGGTTGTGTGTTGTCATGGCAGTGGTTAAAACGACAGTCCCCCCAGCAGCGAGCCAATCAGAGGCCAGCCTTAGGTGTCCGGTTACTCCCAGTCAGCCCACGCTAAGCTGGCAGAGGGAGGGCTTATTCCGCTGCTCCTCAGAAATGGTAACTTTGTTTCGCTGGGGGAGAGCTCGTAACCGTGCCGAAGCGAACAGACTGGATTCCCCAACAAATAATAATAAAAAAAATATTTTAATGTAACATTTTTTAAAAAACTTTTACTGAGAACAATTCCACGTAGAGGACCATTAAAGTGGAATGAGTCGCATGACCTGTTGCTTGTCTTCCTCGCCGTGTAGTTAACTACAATCCAAGATGTTGCTTTGTGGATGGGATGGCGACTGGTGCAGTTTGTGTGCGGACTCGTAGCTTTCGTCGGAGTACGGACATTTACGCCTGAACTCATCGTCTAACTCTTCTTTCTTGGTGAGCTTCGTTTTAAGCCCACTTTAATTTTGAGTCTATTTTATTTGCATGTGTTTTGGCTAACTTTAGCCCAGCTGTGAAACCTGAAGGGTTGAGTCAGCTGGAGTGAGACTTTAGTCTTTCTTCAATACGTTGACGAGGCAGGTAGCTACCTACTATTATATATACTGTTAAGATTCACTTTAAAATCTTTTTGTAAATCCAATGTTTTATTAAATTTATGTGTATATTTTTTTGGCTGCCCCACATCATTATAGTAAGAGTATTTTAATTGGGAGGGATGGGACACTACTATAAAAATAACATGCCATGTAACTGTTTCAAACTTCTATCGCTTGGGTAACTTGGCTAATGTTGACAAAATAAGCCACAAGTTTAATGTTTCAGCACGCATCCTGTCCCTGTTACCAAAGCATTTAGAGCCATGTAATCATTATTGACTAGAGGTTTTATGGATTGGCATGTGAGAAGGTAGTTGAGACCCCCTCCCCCTTCATTAACATCGAAGTACACTGAAGTTAACTCAAAGTGAAAGGTCAGGGAAAGCTAAGTTAAATAAGGCTGTGAGACTGGGTGAGCATTCTCATCTACGCTGTCATGGAGAAGGTGATGAGAGCATCATTCATAGGAAAAATTGAGCAAAAATAGTTTAAGGGTAGGGTTTGTGTGTTGGAAAGAAGGCAGGCTAGAGTGAAGTTTTGCTAAAAAAAAAAAAAAAAAAAGCTCTCTCCATGTTACAGTTCTCATAGCAACCCTGTGATTAACAGAAATGGAGCGGATGAGGTCCAGACCAAAATGAGAAATGAGGGCTGTTGGTCCAGAGCTGGGCTGATAACCAAGGAAATAGTCATAGCACTTCAAGACAGGCTTCACTGAAAAACAAAAACACTGAGTGGAGCTCACTGGTTTGTGAAGAAGGAAAACAACCCCCGAACTAGAATGTGCTGTATTGGCCTGTGTTTTGTGTAATCTGGAAAAGTACATCTGCTAATGCTGTGGATGGTATGTAGATCACAAAGAATGTGAACTAACCATGGTATTTTCTCTTTTATTTAGGTGAGTCACTGCTGTTGCTAACTCCCTACTACTGTTTTGTTCACATGAAACACATTTAAAACCCAGCTGGGAAACTTCATTTCTATTTTTGTAACATAATGTTAGAGTAAGAAAGAACTTACTGTATGCAGAACCAAATTATTCCTGACTTTAAGCAAAAGGTTCCTATAATAGGCTGCAGCTCTGATCATGGAGTGTGTGTGTGTGTGTTTGTTTTGCTGTTTGGTTGTTCATTACATATATAATTTTTTAAAACTTCCAATACATGTTGGTCTAAACACATCAATTGCTCTTTCAGTTTAATAAAAAATAGACAAATGTTAGTGGCAGATCTTCTGACATATAAATATGACAATTTTATGATCACATTGTTTGTTTTTTTTTTGTCATCAGAAATATTTTACATACATTTTTGCTCTTTTTGATATGTCCATTTAAAAAAAGGTTCAAAATCAGAATTGACATTGCAAATTTAAAAGAAAACCATAAATAATTTATAACTAAAGAAATTTCCTAACTGGTGCTAATCCAAAGTAAGTAACAAAAAAATAATAGTGAAGGCAGACAAACATTAGAAAAACATCTTGGTTGTATTTGATAATGTGCGTGTTGTCATTTCACCCCTATTTTTATTGACTTATAATAATGCTCTTATATTCCTAATTGATACTCACAAGCCTTTTTTTACTCTGAATAGCAGACCTTGTAAATAATCTGAAATGCCCACAGCTTCATAAACCACATTTTATAACGTTGATCTTTCATCTCAGCAACATCCAGTTGTTTTGCTTTATGATACCACATCAGACACAAGAAATTAGATACAGAGACACGTTTGAGATTTGCTTTTTACTCTGATCCATAAAAAGTTTACATAAATTAAAACTAAGACTCTCTTACTCCAATAAACATACTTCAGTAGATGTGGTGAAACAATATTTGAGGAACCAAGACAATAATGCTTAGCATCTCCTTTGTTTGCTTCTGCAATGGATTATAATCATAGAGACTTAATTCATTTTAGCCAGCTATTTGTTGAAAAATCTAAAAGTTTTGGTGCTAACTTGACTTCTGTGTTGCAGAGGCTATAAAAAAAACAATAACAAAATTGATACGCTTGCCTTTATGTAACAATACTTCTATGTAAATGCAGAGCTGCAATATGACAAATAGATTGTGTCCATTTTGTCCCTCTTGAGTACAAAAAGACACCTTCTGTCACAACATGGTTAGCACTGGTTGCTTTGTGCCCGCTGTGAAAAAGTCTCCCTTTACATTTATTTTATGTCAGTCAGTTGGCTGAAACATGGATCAAAACCAAAGTTGTGGGCTATTATATCGGTGATTTAAAAAAAAAAAATTTTAAGCATTTCTAGTGTTTTTCATAAGATTTCCATCATGTATTCATGTGGAGTGCTCATACAAATCTTTGTGTTTGCTACTATGATGCAACATGCAAACATAGGACTGCAGAAGTACAGAACCTACAGTTTTTATATCTGATATTATAAATTATAAAATTTTATTTTGTTGTCGCATAATTTGTAGTACCTGATTATGTTTGCATTTCTTCGTGCTGCTCCGTTGTGATGTTAACATTTCTTAACCAAAAATTTGCGAAGAAGGCAAAGTGCTCCTGTGAACATTCTGATGCCCTTCTTCAGTGACTTTCTTTGATTTGTATTCCAGGAAAAAACTACAGTGCATAAAAACACAACATCACTTCACTGTAATTGTCAGTAGATATTCCAGATGTGGCTCTGCTTCAGAATTACTACAATGCATGATAGATGTACTAGTCCTGGGTTTTCATTTCAGTAGTTCTGTAATGTTCAACCTGCTTTTGATTTGGTATGAATATGAAATATTACCCCTATACATCTCCAGATATGTTGGCAAATATTATAACCTTATGAAAGCTGCCTGTGCTCATGGTCTTTCTAATTCTAAGAATAGAGTAGATGGAAGTAATGGTAATATTTCATTTTAAATTTGTTTCTGAATTTTACTGGCAAGAATAACCTTTGGAATATTTTTTTTAATCTCTCTTGGCGTACCTCGCTGCTTCTGCTTTTTCCCTCCAGACTCGCTTGCCAGCTCAGAGTAGAGTTCTGACTTTTGGAGGATATTATCAAATTCATTCTCATGGCATGTATGCTGTCTTTAAATCAAGAGCCGAATCTCATGTCACTTCTATGGGCTTGTCTCTTTAAGAGTTTTAATGGAGGGGATTTTTTTTCTGTTTCTTGAAAGGACAAAATGAATAATTGACATATGTAGCTCTATGAAGTTGAAGGATATTTTTAGGAAACTGTTTTCAAATCCATCCAATGGGTTGTAACTCCAGTGGGTTCTGTCACACACAGGAAAGTGGGTGGAAGTGCCGAGTAAAGATCTCTGTCACGTTTCCAGGCTTATTTCTTTAAAATTCTTGTGACTGTAGTCAAAACTCTGAAACTCTAGCCAACAACAGCAGTCTTTAGTTGGTGTTTTTCTTGTTTGTTTTTGAAGGCGGGATGTTTTAATACACAGAGAGACCTGGGAACAAAAATCCAGATAGTTGGCAAAGCTGAAAGAGCAAGAGGCTCTGCAGTGATGAGGGCTTTCTGCTTTTAGATTGCCGAGCACCCTCCGTAATGAGCAGAACCAATGAGAGTAGTTGGCCTGTACGGCGGTCTCAGCACGGATAAAAAACATTCCACTGTAGGTCTCTGCTGAAATAACAAGGGTCACAAAACAATCAGCCCTCACAGCACCCGCTCTCCCCTTTCTCATGGTTAATGAAATAGATGGTTGGTATTCCACTTGTCCTCAAACTTCGCGCCTCCCATTTACTAGAATGGTTAACCTGCATTCCTGCATAAACATTTAGGCTCGTGACAGGTTTACTCATTAGCTCTCTTCTGAAAACTCCAACTCATAGAAAGGACATTGTTTCACATATTGTTTTCAGATAAACAAAGCAAACAAAAAATGTTTTACTGGCCCAGTTTACTGCAAGGATTTCTGGATAAATGATATGCACACATTTAGCCTGCAGTGTCGGATGCAGCAGTGTTTCATCGCCTCTCTTTGTGATAGATTTTCAGGAGACAGTAGGGATTGTTTGATCTAGACTGAAATATGTGTGTATTAATTTGATGGATTTTCATGAAATTTTTGGAGACGTTCACGGTCCTTGGAGGTCTCAAAGTGGGTCCAATTTTTCAACTGTTCACTAAGATACAGTGGATGTTCACATAACTACTTGATTACACTTTAACTTTGCTGACCTCTAACTTTTTTACTCTTTATATTAGACTCTGAAATCCTAAAATAAATACATTAAAAAAAGTAAGTTGAATTTGGAACAGGAGTGTCCTCTTTAGGAACAAGCCTGACATTTACATTTTAATCTGACAGAAAAGTCCAACATCGCTGTTCACAGCATCGATTTACAGTTTGGGCTTTTTATGCTTGTGTAACCAATGCGATGTAATAAAATCTTTATTTGTTCCTTCGGATGTGGAACTTTACCGTGCCTCAAATAGTTTCTGCACAGCCTGTTTGCAAAACTGGTTCGCTTACATTGGTGTCATGCCATTGATGAATTAGGAAGATTAGAAACCATTGTCACCACTGCAGAGCAGCGGCTGGAGTACAGACAGAAACTGTGACACATTGGGAACAAATTTGCATGCATCTTTTATCTCATTCACATCCCTGTGTGAATGACTCGACTAGGATATAGAACGAAGCACACAAATCCTGTTTTAAATGTGGGTGAGGGGCATTGGTTAAATAAATTAAAGGCATGTTGAGTTTCCTAATGTAACAGTGAAATATTGTGTTTTTGCTTTTACTGGTTTTGTTCTGAGCCTGACCCAGTTTCAGGTTTTACAACATGTAATCAGAAAACAGAAGTTTACATAAGACACAGCAAAAAACAGCTTTAAAATTTCAGTAAAAAAAAAAAAAGAAAAGTAATTTATATAACCTGGTCAGGTTTATTTTTAAGCCTGACCAGGTGTGAATGATCGTTGTCTTATCTGCAGTACTTCAGTAGCACAGATAATCTTCAGATGATAAAATATAAAGAACAATAAATGCATAAATGTCTAAACTTCCACATTAATATACACAAGTTTTATGAACTCACAGTATTATTAATCAGTGCCTTTACCAATAAAATTTGGACTTTAAGAGGAATGTGTTGACCATTTGCTTAAAGGAAGCTTCTTGAAAATTGATTTTAATTCATGGTTGTAAGGCAATAAAATAAGATAACTTCATAAAGGGTTTTCCAGAGGCTGTAGTTGCTGACATGAACAGAACTGTGACTCGGAGGTGCTGCCTTTGCATTTTCTGTGCTATGCTGATCTGTTTCAAGGTTTCCTTCCCAGAGCTCTAGGGGGGTTTTTCTTTTCTTCAAACAAGGCAAAAGTCAAAATGTTTTTGTTTGTTTTTTTGCTTGGTGCTCCTTGTTATGGTAACAGGACAAAATGTCAACTAACTTGGAGAAAAGTTGCCGTATGTTAAAGAAAATAATCAATGGAATTTTAAACGAGAAAGCAAAAACTGTGCACGTTGAAGAATGTTTGTGCTAATAAATTTGTAGGTGATAACTGTGTGTTTCGCTACCTTTGCAGAGAAGATGCATGTGTCTCTGGCAGAAGCCCTGGAAGTTCGAGGGGGGCCGCTCCAGGAGGAGGAGGTATGGGCACTGCTCAGTCAGAGTGCAGAAAGCCTCCAAGATCTTTTTAACAAAGGTATGATGTGCAAAAACATTATTCAGTAATCTTTCTTTTTCCTTATTTCTTTCTGTTGCGTGGGCCAACTTTATTTTTTATGCATAATTACATGCATAGTGGTTTGTGTCCGTAAAGAAAAATAACACTGAAAAGCCTTTTTCTGACCGTTTTATACTGCTACTGGAGCAAAGCTAGTAAATCTTTGTCCTCCTTTAAATGAAATCAGAACCGGAAAATGAAAACTTATAAGTCATGTTTTTTTAAATTATTATTCTGATGGCTTCATTTGCTCATTTTAAATGCCTGGTAGACTTTGAGACATCCCTGGACATTTTGATAGTTTTTGTCATTGCCGGTGAAGCTATCTCGTTGTCCTTGGCGGCACAGGCAGATAAGAAGTCCAGCTTTCAGAATCACTTTGTTTTTTGAGAAAACTGGAAGGTGGGTGACTGAGGCAAGTTTAACTTTAGAGACGCTAAAGAGGATGCGAGTCTGCAGAAATCCTGACCTTGATTGTCACTTTAAAAACACTTTTGGAGGCTCCTACTTTAACTCATTGTTCCAGTACACCTGATAACACAAACTAAAAGTATTGTCTAAACAGTTGCCCATTTAAAATTTCCACTAAGCATTAACTTGTAGCCAAGTCTCTGTTTCTGGGAAAAACCAGCTTGACTTCACTTTCTGGTTTTGCTTAGTGATGCTTGGTGATGCAAATCCTATCATGCTGCAGAAAAGTTTCCTTATCAATGAATGTTTCTAAATATTCCTCAGCTGCCGAGGTCACTTTTATGATGAAAGGATTTTGCAGAAAAGATCTTGTGAAGGCTTATTTGATGAACCAAAAGCTGGATATTTGAAGCTTTTCTTCATTATTTTGTCTTACATTTACTTTATTCTCCATTGTATTTAAAGCGCAATTTTATTCTTTCAGTGTGTTGTTGTACTGTGTAACTTGTGGCTGCTGGTGTGTGGAGCTTTAGACTGCTGAGCAAAGCTAAAATTTGAATAGCAGATGTTGGACCCAGTAATTATAGTTACTGAACTATGTAAAGTCTGTTTGGAACAAGAATGTGTTATTAATGACAAATATTCAAACTTAAAATGTAGCCTTTCTTCTGCTTTCTTTGGCTCTGTTTAGTGAAGGTGATCATAAAGATTAGGAGATGGTCTTGAAATATGAAACTAGTAGACTTTTCATGTGCAAACTGTAGTGGTTACTGTGTTTTTGCTTAGGAAGGATTAGTTTTAGTAATTGGTATGAGTTTGTCTGTTTAGTGAAAGGATTTTCCCAGTACGCTTCCATGTTTTCTTTGAGTACGTTGTCACATTCGTCTGCTTCAGTGTTCTTACCGGAGCTTGCAAAGCCATTTATATCTTTTGACATTTTACATTTAGTCACATGCAAACCACAAATGTGATGTATTTTATGTGACAGAAGGAGGATGATTCATAGTTTTAAAATATGTATTTCTACAAACACCTTTTTACTGCAATCAAAGCTGAAAGATTTTCAGGTTTTGTCTTTGTCAGCTCTGTGCTTCTTTGCAAAAAAAAAAAAAAAAAAAAATTAAAAAATCAAGTTCAGTCAGATTATATAGTGATAGGATGTAATGGCACATGGTGTTTAAACTTACCCAGATCATTAGCAACTTCTTTTACTTCTACAGATTTCTGTGTGAATTTATGTCTGGACCAACCCATTACATGAATATTATTTGACCTAATCATTTTGTTGCAGCTATGACCATGTTTTTCAAAGTTTCTGTAAACCTTTGCTTTATAATTTTTTTTCGCTTAAGTTCTAGCAAGTTTTCATGTATTTAGTGATTCTGACTGGTGTCCCTGTCCCAGATGATAAAAGGATCCCCACAGCATAATGCTTCTACCTCTGTGTTCACAGTGTGGATTGTGTTCAAGTCACACAGTCTGTGTGCCTTCTGTCAGATAGACTATTTTGCCTGGAGTCCAAGAAGTTTAACTTTTTACAACTTTACAGTTGTGCAAATGGTCTAGCACATAAATTACAAATAAAACACATAGAAGTTGTGGTTGCACTGTGTAGAAAGTCTAGGGGTGTGAATACTTTTGTAGGAAACTGTAAGTCTGTCCAGATCTTAAATTACTGTCCAGATGTGCTGTTGCTTGTCAGCAAAGCAATAAAAATGACATTGAGCACTCAGTTTTATAGAGCGGTGATTCAGAATCACTTCCTGTCAGTAATACTTTAGTTGCTCATCAAACAGCAACAGGATATTTTTATTATAATTATCATTATAATTTATTAAAAATCATGATTACTTTTTCAGAAAATCTTTGTATTTGATATTTACCCAAGTCAAATATACAGTAAGATCTTTGAATAATCAGATGGGTTTTAAACAGAAAACCTATATTTACTTAGTAAATTCCAGCTTTTGAAATCAATTTTTTCCCCCCAGTTTTTCAAATTGAGCTCCCCTTTTCCTCTGCTCTTCTCAGATTAAAGTATGAGTTGAAGAAAAGAATTTTGCAGCACTGCTCAAGCATTCCTGTGTATATTTTTAAAACGGTCTCTAACCAAAGCACTGCCTGTGGCTTTGTAGGAAAAGAGAATTGTGCTGTGTAGTCATTCCTTTTTGCTCCCATGCTTCAAGATTTTATTTTTTTTTAATGCAGGCCAGGAAAGCAACATGTGTTTGTGTTTACTTCTGTCAGCTCGGATATCCATAAATGCCAAAGCCTTTTGCAAGAAACAGCCACTGGGGTTAGATATGTCCAAGTGTGAGGCATTTGGGTTTTAAATGTCTGGACAGAATATGATACTAACATTGAGTTCTAGAACATTGTTTTTTAATGCTGTGGGTCTCTGAGCTTGTTTGGCACCATCTAAAAGTTTATCTGAAAAAAGCCAAGTTTTCTTTCTGTCTCATATCCACGTTCATGTTTTGAATTGTCTGTTTCCGTCTCCAGACCCAGCAGCCATGGGCTTCATCATCTCACCCTGGTCCCTCCTCCTCATGCCCTCTGGCAACATTTCATTTACAGACGAGTATGTCACCCAGGAGGACTTAAGAGCTTTCACAGCCCCAGAGGTCATGGAAGGCAACCCCTTGAATTCAGTTTCTGACATTGAAAAGGTATTTATTATTAAGATCATTCACACTGGGACAGAAACATTTAACATTCTTTGTTCTATCTTTGTCTTGATGCATTTCTAACCAAGGTCTTTGGTGCACTCTCTTAAATCAACCAGTGCAGAGATGTACCAATTGAAGCTTTCTGGGCCATGTCATTCTCTTTTACCTTGAGAACAAAGATTCTTGAGAGATTCCTAAAATTTCCAAATCCTGCATAATTCATGAAGGTTGAAAGCTTAAAAGGATAAAACGGAGCAACATCGCTGTGAAGATTTTACCGTTCTGTTATCTGCTGAACTTTGTCCTTATTTATGTAGTAATATAATTCAATGGCCACCATACCATCCATCCATCCATTTTCAGCTCACCCTCAGCTCACCCCCTAACGGGGTCGGGTGTTGCTGGTGCCTATCTCCAGCTGCGTTCCGGGCGAGAGGCGGGGTTCACCCTGGACAGGTCGCCAGTTTGTCGCAGGCCACCATACGTCTGTAGAAAATATTTATTTTTAAACAGTCTCCAACATCTTTGTTCCTCCTTTTACTTAATCAATTAAAAATATTACAGATATTGAATTTAGTAAACATGAAGTCTTCTTCACTCAGTTACAACTTCCACTTCAAAGTGTGTCATCATCATCAGCATTTGCCGATTCGAAAAAGGGTGAGAATTTTGTGTGTCCGGTCACCTTGTGATTCCTTATGCATAAAGTCAGAGGAGTCCTATACAGATGTAGAATGTAAAACATGGTTCTGCCAACTTTTAAAGTCAGGGAAATTTCAATTTTAGGTATTTTACATGTGTGTTTATTCAAATCTTCTGTCTTAATTTTATATGATTGTTAATTTGTTCCATATTGTGTTGACCCTTTTTTCACACTAAGCCAGCTACTCCTGAACTGTTCTCAGCATATATTTATATTATAATAATTTAAAAAATGTTACATCATCATTTGCTTTTTTAAAAAAAATAAAAGGTCATATGTAATAAGGTTTGCTATTGAAAGTGGGGATTTCAGCTGTTGGCAGAAACCTGTAGTTATGGTAGAAAGCTTTCTGTTGACTAGAAGAAGTTGAAGTTGGTAATCTAGGTATAAAAGTACTTGACTTAAATGCCATATATAAAGCTACCAATTAGTTTGTTTTGACTTTTTGTGAGAATATTGGTCTTAAAAAGGACTTAACGTTCTATTATTTACCTTAAAGAAATTTGTAGCATCTCTTTAAAGAAAGAACATCTCATTCTTTCTTTGACCTTTGAGCTGACAATTATGTGGATTAAAATGTAAATGAACTCTAGAGTTTGTCAACAAAAAGCAAAGCTATAAATGCCTGTTAGTTGTGCATGTATTTTTAGCAGTGTGTGTGTGTATGTAAATGATAGGCGGTGTAGTCCGGCTGAACTTGTCCTGACTGAAAGTGCCAAACTGACACGTTGGCAGAAGCTTTGTCCAAAGTTCTGAGGAAGTATGCCTCCGTCTGTAGTTAAAAGAATCACTGCAGCCCTCCCGTTTCAAATCAGCCACTCTGGTAGAATAACTGAAAGCTTGCACGACTGAAAACCCATCTTTGGCTCAGACCCACAAACCTCAAACAGCTTTGTGCTGAGTCAGTTTTCCAAGGCTGGATCTGCCTCTCCAGCTGAGTTATTTCAGTAGAAAAGTTATAATCTGTTTCCTTCATTTTAAGACTGAGTGTAAATACATGTCAGCTGCAAGAGCCAAAGCTTTCTTTTACTGTTTTCAACCTGGTGTTCTGGGCTCACTTTAATTCCTCACTGTCCCATCTTGCAGATTTTCTGAAAGTGTTGGTGTGTCTTTAAATTTGCACTCTGTCTATTCCTGAAGGACCTCAAAGGGTACGGTGCATTCTTTGGCAATCCCTGAATTATTCTTTCCTCTACCAAGCCCAACATTCAGGGGAAGTAATTTCTCTCCACAGCAATGAGTCGAGAGTAATAACAGGAAAATGGAAAAAGATTTGGGGATTTAATGTGAAAGACCTCATTTATGTTCTGTGTGTGGAAAATTAATTCAACTTTAATCCTCTTTGTTTGTTTTGCCTACTTATCCTAAATTTATCCTTGTTTTTGTCTCCAGCCATCAACCTTCTTCAGTCATTTTTTGTCACTTTCATCAGCTTGTTATGTCTTTGTTTTTTTCTGGGGCGTTTGCACATCTAGATTTAGTTGTTTTTTTTTTCTCCCACAGATGCATATGTATTCACTGGGAATGACATTATTTTGGGGAGCAGACTATCAGATCCCTCAAAGCCAGGTAAACATCATAAATCAAAAAAAATCTTTAAAAAGGCTTCTTTTAATATGTACAAATCTTTTATGTTACTTTTCAAAGACTTTAGAGTCTAATATCTGCTGTTTGTCAGCAAAACTATTGTAGTCCTATTTCCTTCGGTTAATATTTTTGCATCACATAAATCTCCAACCTAAACTTGTCGCTTGTCTGATTACACTGTCACAAATACAGCAAGTAAAATTTGGAAACAGTCCAGATGCTTCATAACGATGTATATCAAGATTTATTTTTGTTCCCCCATGACGCGATCTTGAAGTTTAATCTTGATGAGAAAAGTGCTGCCTGGAAATGCCGTTTGGAATGTACTTGGAAAATGAAGATGGTCAGGTTTTCCCCGCATCCTCATGACATGTCAGTCAGGTGTGAAACACGTCCACATTTATGAGGAAATGCTTCCCACAGTCACTATGACTGGCACTGAGGTTGACTTCATTGCAACTGCAATATGTGTCATGAAACAAATGTAGTGTCTATTTTTGTAACCATTTAGTTTATCTAAAAACAATCTCATCCAAATTACTTAAATGAGAACTAAATGGCAACTATTTTATTGTAATGCCCTCTATCTATTACCTTGAAACTAAAACTAAAAATATCAGAAAAAGGAATTTGAAAATTATTCCGATGCATCATTTATTCTGGGAAAAGGTGCCCTATGAAATATTTGCCTCAATTGAAATAGTTGCACATTATTTCATTTGATAGAATTGTGAAGGATAGCACAGAAGATGTGAATTTCATAAGCTTTTGAGCAAACAGTTGTTACTGAAGCCTTTGATTCTGGAGATAAATTACTCTTTTTACAAAGGATGAGTTCATCTCCAATAAAGACCTTTGGGTTTAGAGTTCTTTATGATCAGTTTGGGAGGAAAAAACAACCTTTTTATCACTAGAGTTGAGCTAATATACTTATAATTTACATTTCTTTTTATATAAAATGCATATTAAATCACTCTTTATGTAAGGTACTTAAGTCAGGCATACAAGATGATTTAGAAAATGAATGGTGATTTACACTATCAGATCAGATAAAAGTACTGCCCTTGGTAATGCTTTCATTCTTCATTGTGCAGCCCATGAAGCTGGGGGAACACCTTAACGGTCTCCTGCTCAACATGTCTGATGACATTACGTTGAGTCGGATGTCGCTGCGCACGGTGCTGGACATCTGCAGCAAGCACATCAGAAACTCCACCTGTGACCCCCCTTTCTCCTACATTAGAAAACTGGTCCGGTTGGTGCTTGGCAGTCTCTCCCAGGTACACACTTCAATTTAAACCATGAGGATGATTTGTGTGTCAGCTGCAGAAAATTGAGTCTCTCAATCATGAAACGGTTCTTTTTCTCCACCAGTTTTACCATCTCTCATCATTTTATTGTTTCTTCAACTCTTCTTTTCTTAGCTGGATGGTCTGCTGACAGATAGAGAATCTCTTCCAGAGCGGAGTAAGGAGATTCGAGAGAGGTTGAGAGGCAAAGGCTTGCCATCCGGTAAAATGAGCTACATTTATACATTATGAACACAAAGTAGCTACAGTCTACTGTGCTGTTTGAGTTGCCTAAGTCATACTGCAGTGGCATATGGAGTTATATAGAGATCTTTTTGTTTGATCCTTGTGTCATATTTGGCATTGTTGGTCATAAAAACTTACCATTTTATACAGTCAGATAGGTGTGACACATGATATGTTTTAAGTTTAACCTGTACTTTATGTTTGGTTGCAATAATGTTATTTGCCTGTCAGATTGTCTTACCTCAAGGCTAAGCACTAGAGGCCTTTTTACTTGTAATATAACTTGAAGATAGGCTTTAATGGAGTGAAACTAATAACTTTATGAGCTGTTTTCTTTTCATTGAGTTACGAGCGGGAGTATTTTCTCCTTCAAGAGCTCAGTTTAGTTCAACAAATCTGTAGCAGCAAAGCAAATACATGCAGCTTCCACAACTTATGTTCTGAGGAATGACTTTTAGAATAGCAAAGACTTACAAGGAACAACACACCAAAACCTCTAATTTAAACTAAATTCAGGAAAATATGACTGAACCTCCTCGGTGGTTTTAGAACATTCCGGCATTTCTCCAGGCCATGGAAAGGACAGCCAGAGCACACTCATGGCCGTCATCCACATTATGTAAGCGCTGCATGATATTGATTAGATTCATATTTTTGAGTCACCAGTGAAGCTGCTGGTCTGCTGTTTGTATCAGTGCTTTGTTTGTCTGGTTGAACACAATGCAGCCTCAGGGAAAGTACATGCAAAAGAAGATCACTCCGTTCCTTAGCATATTTCTTCTAATGGAGCAGCTCAGTCCCTCCTGCATCCTAGTTGTTTCAACTTGTAGCTGCTGCTCAGGTTTCTGGCTATTTATTTTTTGCCCAGATAGACGCTGTATGTCTCTATTTCTTGAACTACTCTGCTTTACAAAAGTTTTGATATCCCTGGAACTTTTCCAAAGGTTCTTCACTTAGAACCACGCACCTTTTTTAATATATAAGTATCACAAACATTTGTATTCAGTCACATTTACTCTGACACCCCAAAATAAATTCCAGAGCAACAAACTATCCCAATATAAATACAGCTGTGTATGTGAGGAGCACAGGCAGGTCCGGAGTAAAGTCGTCTGGAAGTTTTGTAGCAGAGTTACGTGATGAAACATTACTCCTGACTTTAAACGTCTCACAGAGCAGTGCTCAGTCTTTCGTCTGAAAATAGGATAAGGCACGACAGTAATTAGGATTGGTAAGAAAAGCATTAATCAGAAAACCAGCAAAGATGATATCTGAAAGTTGCAGAGATCCACTGCTCAGTCTGTTAACAGGGCAGTATTAGTTGTGTACTCCACATTTCTGAGCTGAAATGAAAGAGTGATGAGAAGAAATTATTTTGTTGAATAGAGACTTAAAAAGTTGTCTGCAGTCAGGTCAGAGCAAAAATATGGAAGAAGAAACTGTAAATCACACTGAACACATCATCCTCACAGTGAAACTTGGCAAACGGTAACAGCATCAGAGTTGGCAGGAAGACAGAAATTAATACCCAGCAAGAGTGAAGAAAAAAAAAAAAACGTGCTGGAGACTTGCGATTAGGATGGCGGTGCACCCTCTAGCAGGACAGCAACCCTGAAAAAACAGCCAGGGCTACAATGATCATTGTATGTTCTTATGTTAGAGTGGCTCAATTGAAAGTCTGTAGCAGGACTTGAAATATGTCAGTATGAGTACGTTGGCAAGGCACTGTCTTAAAAGCCATATGGCAGTGACATCTGAGTTGTGCAGCTGAACAGTCATTGATAGATTAAGGCATCCATATCAAGTCGGCTTAAAATAGGAACCTGTCTTGAGCGTCCCTATCTTTTAGACCAGAGTGTAGAAAGGCTCTCATCCACAAATATACATATGATATCACGGATGAAAAACATATGAAAGCTAATAATTACTTTTTTCTGAGTTCACTTCTTGTCAACATCTCCATGCAGACATAGTCTAACTACCTTTACTTACTTCAAGCTTAGGTTATATAAGTTGTTCTGATTGCTACATTCATTGCCTTGATTTTGTATTTATGTCATTTAGAATATCAGATTTAAAAATTTGGAACATTTAACTGGTTTTACATTTTAAATTAATGTAAAATAATTAATAGCAGAGCTAAGTAGTCATTGTGAATACGTCTGTGTTTTTTATTTATATCTGTCAACAATACTTAAGAATGAATAACTCAGCATTTAAAAAATGTGACTAATTTGTCTTCAAAAATTAACACCATTTTCTTTCTCAGGGAGGAGTGCCGCCCCCAGAGTTTTGGAGCGCTACAAAGCCAGAACTCAGGAGCAAGCGGCTCTCAACAGGGGCCTCAGTCGATCTATGGGCTCACTGCCGATTCAGGACTTGCTGAAGGGAGATGAGGGTGCAGCTCCCCACAGTTCCCTGTCTGACTACCACACAAATGCTGACTCTTCCACAGAACTTTTCCCCAAAGCCCCTTCACTCCAGCACCAGCTTTCTTACCCCTATCTGCACCCGCTGCACCCCCAAATGAAGGGCCGGCCTGTGGAGCTGGACCGTAGGTCTTTACCCTACCAAGTCACAGACAGAGGGCCGAGTCAGCCCAGAAAGACCTGGGCCTCCTCTGTGGACTTGGCTTACATCGACCCAGAAGCTCTTCGTTTTGGAGCTTTGGAAGATGCCCGGAGAGGAAGCAGTGTCTTAAGCACGCATTCTGTGGGGAGGCGGAAATCACCTTTGTCTGTGACCAAGGAGGTGGATTATCGGTACTCTGAGTTTGGTGAGCTGAAGGGCAGAATGCCTCATCACTTCTCTGCCCTGTCTGTCGGCTCTGGGCTCCCTGCTGCATATGACAGGATCAAGGAGAGACAGAGGAAACTCCAGGCACTACAACAGGCAGTAAACGGTGAGTAATGCTATCATAAATAAACTATACATGTACTGTGTTCTGCACAACTGTGAATCTTCTGCTGTCACACTGTTTGATTCAGTCCAGATCCTTGAGTTCAGCTCTAGAGAGTGAGATTTTCATAACTTCTTTATGTTAAGAGGGTTTTCAAAATGCAGAAGTGAGTGCCTTTGAGTGTTTTAGTAGTTATTCATAGTATTTATATTTTTCAATTGTTTATAAAGTACTAATAAAATATATTTACCCAGGTTGTTCCATGTCCAAGTACTGATAAGACTGTTGTCAAAAATGTGTGCTACTGCTCCTTTTCTGCTGAATAGCTATATTTAAACTCTTTCATCATCATGTGATTATAGACAATAACTCTTTTTGCCAAAGGGTCATCTATAAAGTTATAATATACTGTTGGAATCTCAGCCAACTAGTGAGACTTGGTGTTTGAGTCACTCACCTTTTAAATGGAGCATCATTTTAAAACCAAAAACTTAACTTTTGCCATTTTTTTTGTTCAGCTGGATAATACAGGCAGTAATAAAACTGTCTTTATCCTAACTTTGAACTTTGTCCGTCCTGCAGCAGTGTTATTCAAAAGAAACAATTATTTTACGTATTTATGTTTCATTCACTTATTCTTGTTCAGAATTTGCTGTGACTGTCATTAAACTGTCTAGCTGAGCAGATAACACATTTTTTGAACTGCATTTCTAAACATATGGTTTTTATCACTTCTAGTCTTCTGTGATTGTAGTACATCTGGAAATTATTCAATCCTTCACTTTTTCCACATTTTGTCAGTTCATCCTTCTTACAAGTGGTATTAAATAAATCTGTTCTCAAAATTCTTCAAACAAATGGACGTTATGACAATATGATATGTTTTGCGAATTTGTTAAAAATGGAAAAAGTTTAGTTAGTTTGCGTAACTTTGCTTAATACTTAATTGTTAGAGATGAAATTTGAGCTGTTTTCACTGATCATCCTTGAGACGTTTCTGCACCTCAAGTAAAGGCCACTTGCAGTAAATTCAGCTGACTGGACGTGATTTGGAAAAACTCACACCTGTCTATATGACAATATGACATGTTTTTGAGTCATACTGTTCAGAATTTACTGTGGACTCACAGTTGAAAATGGTCAAACGCCAAGGATGAAAGAATAATAAAAATGTGAGACAGGATTGTCTCAAAGCACAAATCTGGATAAGGATCCAGAAATATTTGTGCTGTTTTGAAGGTTCCAATGAGCTCAATTACCTCCATTATAATTGTAAATAGAAGTCTGGAGCAGCAGGAGTCTTCCCAGAGCTGGCCGAAATCGAGCAATCTGGGCGAGAACGGCCTTACTTAGAGGGGTGACCATCGACCCAATGGTCACTCTGACAGAGCTCCAGCATTCCTCTATACAGAGAGGAGAACCTTCCAGAAAGACAACCACCTTTGCAGCAATCCAACAATCAGGCCTGTATGGTAGAGTGGCCAGATGGAAGCCACTTTTTAATAAACGGCAAATGACAGCAAGTCTGGAGTTTTACCAAATGATATATGAAGGACTTTAAAACCATGACAGATTGACTTTTATGATCTGAGGAGATAAAGATCAAACTCTTTGGTGTGAATGCATGGGTCATGTTCGGAGGAAACCATACCACATACCATCCGCACAGTAAATTATGGTAGTGACAGCATCTCTTCATGGAGATGTTTTGCAGCAGGAACTGACAGACTAGTCAGGATAGAGGGAAAGATAAACACAGCAATGTACGGAGACATCCTGGATCAAGACCTACTCCAGAGAATCGTGACCTCTGGTGGCTCATTTTTCAGCAGGAAAACGATCCAAAGCATGTGGTAAAGAGCTCAAAAGAGTGGCTTCATAACCACCCTGTAAAATGTGGTTGAAACTCATTAAACATCTCTGGAAAGATATGAAAATGGCTGCACAGACTTATCCACCCAACTTAATGGCATTTGAGAAGAACTGCAAAGAAGAATGAGCCAAACTTCCTAAAGACAGGTGAGCTAAGCATTATATTAAAAAAGACAGGAGGGTAGAATTACTGCCAAATGTCAATCAACTAAGTTTTAAGCAAAAGATTTGAATACTTGCATAAATGTGATTTCTTGGTTTTTCTATTTTTAATAACTTTGCAAAAATATTTTGTCCACACATGTCAGAATAGGGTATTTTTGTGTATAATTTTGAGGAAAGAGGTTCATTTCATACATATTAAAATAAGGCTGTAACATCAGAAAATGTGGAAAAAGTGCAGCAGTGTGAATACTTTCCAGTTGCACAATAATCAGTCTCTTTGAGATCTTTCCTGTTTAGAACATCAGTCTATCCCAAGTTCTCTGAAGACAGGATTTCCTTCATTTCCTGTTGTATATTTTATCTATTGATTACCCTCACTGACTACTACTTCTTCCTCTAAATAAAAATCAGTTTTCTTATCTAAAGAAATGAAACAAAACAACTCAAATCAGTTTTTTCAGAAATATATTGAATGGCTATTTAAATATTAATTGCATAGCTTTTATTTTCGGAATATTTTTTTTATCTTTATGTGGCATTTTGTTTCCATTACACAGTGGCTTTGTATTTTTGGGTGTCTTTTATTTCACTAAATGTGATTATCATACCCCATCAGTCTCAGACGATAGTCATGAAAGCCTTTGTTTAAATTTTGTGAGGTTCTTAACATTTGATGAGTGTCCTGCTAAGTTTAAATCAACAAACTATTGTTCGAATGTTCTGAAGTTTGTCATCGGTTACACACCGCTAAAAAACAGAAAAGGTGCAAATGACGTACACCAAGTCTTTCACCACCTACCTTTTGAATACAGGCACTGCATCATATCCTTCATAACAAAACGCCATACCTAGGCCATGTCATTATTTTGTAATAAGTGTTTAGCAGAACATTGTCTGAACTTGAACTGTGGTCCTCAGCCCTTCAGCCATAAGCCGTATTATGTTTTGCTTCTGCCCCGAGACTTAATCTTTTAAGTCGGTGTATTATGAGGATGTCTGTTGTTATTCAGAATAAGAAAAATGGCAAATTAGACAGTGTAATTAATTAGCAATTTAAAGCTGGTTATATTTGACCTAAGGAGAGAATTGCGGATTACAGTGGGATGATTTGAGCAGCCATGCACTTGGCTACAGGAGTTGAATGGCTATATGGGTTCAGAGCTAGTTATTGGCTTGAAGGGAGTATCATTTGCTTTGGCCGCTCAGCGGTGTTTAGACAGAATGAGTCAGTGGCACGAAGGTCACCCAAATTACTGATTCTAATTAAAGAACAGCATAATTCTAGCCTTTACCTTATTTTCACACGTCATGGGCAGCTATTCTTTGGATACACTGCCATTGCTTACTAACAGAGGTATAGTGGAAAAAACTGTACCGTTGCGTGCTTGGGCAAATCACAATTGTTGCAATTGTGTAATTACCTAGTACAAACCCCTCCAGAGTTTCTGTTTCTCTCAAAAGCTTTTTGTCTTCTTGGTAAAAGCTACATAGGGAGGCTGCTTTTAGTCGCTGACTCACATGTACCTGTGTGGCTTTGAAGGTCATCTGGTGACTATGAAGAAAGCATTAAGGTTCAAACAGCCATGTTGGCTTCATAAGCTAATCTGCTCTCTTTTATACTTCCCTTTCCTTGCCTCATTTTTTCCAGACCCCCACAACTCCATTTACAGTCTACTTGTAGCCTCCTTACTTTGCCGGCAGCTACTTTTACACTGGCAATACAGCATTATTTTTTATACATGTTCCTTGGGGAAATGCCTTTCTTTTCTTGTCATCTTGATCACAATTGGATCCCGCATTAATATGACAAAATGTTGTTAAGACATAGTTCATTTCTGTATACATGATAAAGGAAGAATCAAACTGTTTGTCCTGTTTTGAATATACAGTTTTCAATAAAACCGGCTCTGAAAGATAATTGTTTTTCCAAATGCTTAACGTTTTACAGGGCTTGTTAAACTTCAAACACTTTATTACGTGTCAAGCCACAGCTTGTAATAGTCAACTTTTTACTTGACGTAGGTTCAAGCAACGGCGTTTTCCAATAATTGAAAATGTTACTAGAAAGCTGCAAGACATCAGAACAGAGATTATTATTAAAATCCCTAAGAATCACGCTCAGTATTTTTTATGAATGCTATTTATAATGTCCAGCATGTCCCTTGATACAGGTGATCACACACAATGTGATCACCAGTTTATCTAGATTCTTTTTGAACCTATTAAATCCTTCTGTTGCTGCAATGCCTCTTTTTGGGTTGTCCTAAGCTATGCAAACACTCAGTTCAGGTCACACGGATGAAAATGTCCTCACCTTGCTTGGTTCAGCTGTAACTGACAGAAGTCTATCCTACCTTTTGATTAATTCAGCTTTTAACTTAATTGGCACTTTTAAACACTTATACAAGGTGTATAGAGCTTTGAACTTTTACCGCCATTTGCAGAAGTTATCATTAAATGTGAAAAAAATAAATGAATTACATAAAACGAGTCAGTTACACGATGGCAAAAGTAAAGGCCAAGACTGTTTTCTCTAAGGTGGCAGAGACAAGAACTGTGTTCTTTCCGGTCAGGACATTTCATACTTTACAAGAATTCAAGTGTAGAACTGCTGGAAGGACATTATAGGTTGTGACTACTTGTGCAATATGTCTTAAAATTTGATGTGGTAGTTATTACACTGTAAGTAGTTCAGAAGTTGTAATTCTTCACCATACAAGACGAAAATTCTGTGTTGAATATTTTTTATGATACTGTAAAGCATATTAGGTTTCTTTTATAGAGACCAATTAACGTTACTTTTCATAATGCAGGTAATATGCAAAATAGGTATTTTTATGTCGTGTACAATAAAATGAAAACAACTGAGCTTCACAGAAACGTCAACCACAATGACTTCTTTCCATCCTTAACATTATAACTTGATATTTCTTTTTTTAGTGGCAACTCTAGAGATGTACTTTCTAGCAAATTAGCATATCTCCATATTTTTTATGCACTGTAATAATTTAATTCATTTAAGCATGATATTGTCTGTCCTTTGCGCTGTTATCACTATCACTGCTTTTGGAGTAACTCGGGGACTTTTATCAAAAGCATGTGTTAGATTGGTTACATTTAATTTTTACTTGGGCAAATTTAAACCACTACTTTCACTTGAACTTGAAAATTGCAACACAGTATTAGTCCGCCTTTGCAAAATGCCTGTGCGTCATAAGGGATACACACCGCATGAACATGATGGGGCGTGATTTTTTAAAAAAGAAAATTCAAAAATTACAGCAGCTTAACAATAGAAGTTATTATGTTGAAGGCCACAAAAAAAAGCATAAAGACGGTTCCTACAGAGTCTGGAAAAGCATTCAGTTTTCAAGGGGTGGATAAAACAAAAAGTGGCCTTTGTTTCTTTTCATCTCCTGGTCAGCATAATAAATTTGGACAGTTGTAGGCGGTGTGGTTCTTTTTTACCTTTAAGCTGTTTTGGGTTCCTGGGTTGTCAGAATGGAAAGAGTTGGTGAAGAATTTGGCACTGGCTACAAACCAGCCCAGCTAAAACAGTATAAGGCCACAGGCATAGGAGGCAATGATGCAGTGTATCAAACAGAGTACCATGACATTTGTATTTTGTTTTTATTTTCCTCAAAGAAAAGTAGAAATAGTTTATTTTAAAAAAAGTTTTCAAAGGAAACCCATTTGAATAAAATAAGGAGAATTGGAAGGACTAAATGTGTGTATTCAAAACATTAAGGATTTGAAGATAACTGCCCGAGTTCCCCATATTTTCTTGTTTCTGTTCTTTTCTGCAGAAAAGTGATGGCACAGGTGTTTGTCTCAGTTTCCACAGAGCCTTTCTCAGAGCTTCTTTTCTTTGTGCAAGTCTTTGTGTTGTCCACTTGCCTGCATATGCAGGGGCATGTTTCTACCTGGCCACCTCTTTGTCTTCCAGCACCTAGACAACTCCGACTCCTCCCCCACCTTTTAGTCCCAAAATGCTTCAGTCTTCAAGGAGTAGAAACTTTTCCTAGCCTACCCTGAAGCTGTAATTGGAGTCATGCATGGCGGATGAGGGAATTCCTAAGATTATTGGACTTTTCCGGCTCTTGGCAGTAGGTTATGCAGCTTTGAGCTGAGGTCAGGTCCAGTATGGAAAATGATAAAAGGAGACTTGTAGATGAAAGAGACAGGGTGGTGGCTCTGAGTCAGAGTAATCACAGAACTGCTGTGATTATTTCATAGGCTCCTTACTTTGAAGATTGACTGAAGAAATTGTTTGTAAAAATAACAGATATTGAATATTTTGTAACTATTTAAGATAATTTTGTAATCTTAGATAATCCTAAATCTTATTTATATATGGATATAAAAAAAACCCAATTTATTTTCTATTCATCTGAACTTCTTTGGAAGGGTGAGGTTTTCCTTTTTACATTTGTGGAATGAAACTAATGCTGCAAGATAGTGCTATTTCAAATTACTTGTTTGTAAGTTGAAATTGAAACTTTTTTTTCTTTTCCATTTCAAAATCCCTTTTTGTTAAGAGCTAAATGGGTTTAATTCTTTGTCTGTATTATATTTTTTTCTTCACTCATTAGGTTTTTAAAGAACTGCCATATCAGGTTTTCTGGGCAAGTGACTGCATGTGTGGGTAACTGCATGAGTCTGTCAGATTTTGGGAACATGTACACGTTTGTTTTGTTTTGTTGTCTTAACTGCATGGGAAAAGCGCACAAATGAACCACCCTCTGAACCTTTTCAGTTGCGTGATTGTGTAAAGGGAACTCATAATTGACTTCAGCAGAGGAAAGGAAAATGATCTTAGGTGACTGATTGACCTGCTTCTAAGATCACTTTAGAAGCACTATAAATGCACTTCCTGAATCTGTTTGCCAAGCTGAACAACTATTGTCGTCATGAAGAGAAGAAATCTCGGCTGTATTGTGAAACAACAGAAATTCTTGAGTGGTGACTGAAGAATGTGGTTTATTCAGGCTATGCAGCTGACAGTGCGGATCAGGACTTTCAGGTTCTGTGAACTTAGCAGAAAAACACATGACACTTTGGTTCGGGTTCAAAATTTATTGTTTGTTTTCTTCTTGCATCTGAGTTAAGTTCATTACAGGGTTTATGAAGCAATACCTTTTAGGGAAACATGTGTTGAGCTGGTCTCTGCTTGCTGTGATTCTACCAGTTAAGCAAGACAAATGCTAAAACCCTGATTAAAAATCTTGACAAGAGACACACAAAGTGTGAATTCACCTTTCTGTAGCTTCATATTCCTTATTAACAGTGTTTACCAACAGCATGACTACCTGTATTTGTTCTTCGTTGTGCCGTCTTGTTCAGTTTTACGGAAAGTCTAAATGTGTTTTCGAATGGTTTCTGGGGATGAAAGCATGAGTCACTCATCAATTTGTTTGTTAAATTCCCGTTATAAAAAGTGACAAGGTTTTTGTTTTGGAGTTTGATGTGGAAGACAATCGGCTTAATCCTAACATAAAAATATACCAAACACATCAGTGTAATCATTATGTAGTATTATATGCATGATGGTTGAGTTTTTTTTCCCTTAGTTGATGCATGATCATGATTGTTTTATCGTTTCTCATTGAGATAAATGTTATTCTTTCAGACCCTGTTCACACACACCAAAGGTACCACAGTGACTACAGCTCATCTAGTGAAAGCCCATCAGTGGCCTCTTCAGATCCAGACTACAGGCTTGGTAAACAATCCTTAAATATTTTAAAGGGGCAAAAATAAATAAATAAAAACAAATAAAAATACACTTAATTTAGCTATATTTACTTACTTTAAACATATATTGAGTTATTAAACAAGCAGCTGAGAAGAGTTAACAAGCAATTCCAAAGCCAAACCCTGTTTTTAAATTTATTCATTCATTTTCTATTGAAACATATTTAAAATCATGGCAACCAAGACACATAAAAGCTTACAGGGTTTAATTTCTTTTAGTGTATTGCTGTAAAGTCATGTCACTTTACTCACACATATTCAGTGGATGTCAGCAGATTTTATTCATACTCCTTTGCTTTGCCTGATTTAAGTGTTCTGTAACCACAATTCTGCTCACACATGTTCATGCAAGTTTAATCACCTTGTGGGTGTCAGGAGAGGTGTGTTAGATTGATGAAACTAAACGTGCTGCTTTGTGCTCACTTGTGCAGCTAATATTCCCACATCTCTTGCAGCTAAGAAACCCGGCGAAGTGACGAGGTACGGCTCCCAGCTGGCGCTTGCAGAACAAGACGCCCTGTCACTGAGAAGCCACAACTCACAGAGACGCAGGTAGTAAACACAGGCCCAGTGCAGCTGCGTATCAGAAGACGTATTGTCCATCACAAATTGACACCCTTGAAGTTACTGCTGCTTGGTATTCTTCAGCTCAGGGTAACTCAATCTTAGCAGAAGTTGTTTCACGCTGATCTTTTTCAGATCAGCGTGAAAAAGATCACGCTGATCTTTTTCCTTAGTTGTGTAGGAAACCGACTTCACTGTTTTGTTGAGATTTTCTCTGACATGTGAACACAAAGTAAAACATAATTGTGAAGTGGGCGGAAGATGATTCATGCATTGGAACCTGTAGTAAAACGGTTTTCTCCCAGGTTGCCATGTATTTCACTCCATCCATCTTCCCATGAACTGTGACGAGCTTTCCAGTTCATGCTGAACTAAAACATCCCCATTGCATGATGCTGCCACCACCATGTTTCCCCAGTTGAGATGATGTGCCAAGTTAACTTTTTGCTAAGTGCAGCATTTTGTTAGGTTTTAAGCTCACCTGACCAGAGCAGCAGCATTCCTTCAGGTTTTTCTGGTCTCCTGCATGGCTGAGCAACCTTAATTGCCATTGTGCAACATGTGAAGAAGTTTAATGAGCCTGAATAATTTTCATAACCGATATCAGTTTATCTTTGTTTAAACCTTTTTCTAAAGGGGCATAAATTTTGTCTGAGCATTTGGTTCATCCTGGTTATTCCATAACACTGAGATTCAAAGCAATGCTTACTAATTCAGATGCCAGAATGGAGAATAACACACAACTTTGAACTTTGCAAGGAAGAAAATCAAATGCAAACACAAGGAGATGCAAATTTCACACACACCCACAACCTATTTAGTATGAGTCACTCTGCTCCTGGATGTACTTAGCATCATCTATTGCTTTTTCTTAATGAGTATTGGGAAGTCAGAATGTCCTTAGTAAATAATATTATAAATAGACTGATTTTTTTTTTATCACATCCAGGGTTAATTCATTGATTTTTGTGTGAACATCCCTGTCCTGAGAAAACATAATGTGTTTGTGAGTGAGTCTGTGTTGACTAATGAGTCTGACTGTTGATGATGATGACGATGAGCTGGTATCTGCCCTTCCAACCCTCCATTGAGCAGAGCAGCATTAGACAAAGCTGTCCCATTTCGGTCCTCTGGGCCACACACAGCTGGTGCGGCACAGCAGGATTGCCTCATGCCTCAACAGTGAGGTCATTTGATGTGACATTTACATTCAGTCCTCTTGATCTCTCTAATCTCTGGCATCACAGGCCTAAACAGCCTGCTGTTGCTCTGCCTTCTTCCAAAGACAAAATCATTTTGATCTGTCCCTCTGTTGCTCCCCGTCCCTGTTTGGGTGAAAACAAAATTCCTATATTGTGTGCAGTTTGCCACAGATGCCTACAAGGCATCAGTCACACAAGAAACTGCTGAGCTAACCAACTAACATTTGGTTCCCTTAAGGCAAAATGAAGGGCCTGCTGATGAAAGTGCTGAGATGCTCCTCCAGAGGCAAGAGGAGGAGGTGCAGCGGCTGCAGACGCAACTGGCCAATAGGCTGTCCAGGGCCAACTTCTACTCTGTGGATGAGCCCCTGCTCCAACCTCAGGCTTCAGCACTTGACCTCCAGGACCCTCTTTACACTCCTTTATCGCTCCGCAAAAACAAGGTTTGTATACAATGTGAGTCAGTATTTAAAGATATGCACCAAAAGAGATAACTGTAATCCATCATGAAGACAGCTTTTAAGATACTAATCCAGAAAGCCCTAAAAGCTTTAATTTCTACACCTCCCTTTCAACTTGAAACCCCCTACATATAAGCAGCTTGAGGGTTGTTTACAATGCAGTTTTTGATGATTCTTGTACAAATTTAAATTGCATAAGCTCACTTGCCACAAACGTGTTGATTCCATGCTTATTTGATGTTTCGCAAAAGCTGCTGACTGCAGTATTTAATTTATTTCAGCCTTTATAGGGTTAATTGTAAATACATGGGACATGTGGGAATTTAAGAGTTTTGCTCAGACTTATTCGATATGTTGCAAATTTAGTAAAAATGTTTGTTGGTAATGCAAAAACAAATTTGCTGTTGTTGGGAACACATTCATGTGTGAGACATTCTTCCTCACATGTTTGTGGTGTGTTTAATTACCGTAATGTGATTTAGGACTTGAATTTGTGCACAGCCACGAAAAGCTACAAAATATAAACTGAGTGAATAGAGCTTTCTGTGATTGCTTTTTCAGAACTATAATGGACCTGAGTTTGTGAAGATGGCCAGCGAACCATCAGTAACCTTATCTGTGCCTTCGTCAATCATGGTGAGGTTTTAACTCTGCTCTTTCTTCAAATAACAGTTTAACTATCTGTCTTGTAACTATTGCTGTGTCATCCCTAGCAACCAAAACGAAATAAGGTGGAAGACGTGCAAAGGAAGGTGGGTGTTGTGCTCCTGAATGGGCAAAAACTGGAGCTGGGCTGTGACCTGAAGGCAGTTTGCAAAGACGTTTTTGATATGGTGGTGGCCCACATCGGCCTCGTGGAGCACCATCTATTTGGCCTTGCATACCTCAAAGGTAATTTGGAGATTTTGGGATTTATATATTTGTAGTTGTATATCTCTTGTCATTTTAATCACAGTCACCTGTCTTGTGATATATATATATATATATAGATAGATAGATAGATAGATAGATAGATAGATAGATAGATAGATAGATAGATAGATAGATAGATAGATAGATAGATAGATAGATAGATAGATAGATAGATAGATAGATAGATAGATAGATAGATAGATAGATAGATAGATAGATAGATTTTTTTTTATCTATCTTGACACTAAATTCATCCTCTCTTTAATACAAATATACGGTGCTTTGGAGAAGTATTCATACCCCTTAAACATTTCCATATCTTACATAAACTGAAAGATGAGTTTATTCTACTGGATTATTAAGTGATCAACAGAAACCAATCATCTGTTCACAAAAGAAATGAAATGATTGTCAGAGTTTTAACTTATAAAAATCATAAGTGTTGTCTGTCGTTATATTCCGCCCCCTATTTACCACCTAATCAGATTATTGACGGTGATCACAAACACTACTTTCTTTTCAGTCTGATTTATTTTCAATCTGTCACCTACTTTAATCCGTTTTGTCTTAAAAAAAAAAAACCCACACAGAAACTGAGTTTTTCTTCGTTGAACCTGATGCCAAACTTACCAAAGTAGCTCCTGATGGATGGAAGGAGCATCCCAAGAAAAGAAGAACCGACGTGCCTTTTAACCTTTTCTTGCGGATCAAATTCTTCCACGATGATGTCAACCTCATACAGTAAGCATATATTTTTAATCTGAGTGAATAACTCTGCTGCTTCATATATGCTTCCCTGGGACAGCACAGTTAAAATGCAAATATAAAGATCTTTTTGACACCTTTTTTTTTTTTTTTATCTATGTGGAAAACAGGCATGCTATGACCAAACATCAGCACTACTTGCAACTGAGGAAGGATGTGTTGGAGGAAAGGATGCGCTGCAACACTGAAAATGCCTTGCTTCTGGCTTCCCTGGCATTGCAGGCTGAATTTGGTGACTACCAACCAGAGGTAACCAAGATCATCTTTCAATAATTGAAGTGGAAATGTAAACTGAGTTGGAAATACATAGTTTTTTTTTAGCCACTTATCCTACCTCACAAATTCACATAGCTGCATATGTTTACGTGCATGCGGCTGGTAATATAAGTATTCAACACATCACCGATTTTCTAAGTTAATGTATTTCAAAAGGAGCCATTCACATGATATTATAATCAAGTTAATGTCTGTGCTGCAGCTTCATGGGAAGACATATTTCAGGCTGGAGCATTACCTGCCAGTGTCCATCTTGGATAAGGTGGACCAGACAACTCTTCGGGAAGAACTGCCTAAACTTCACAGTAACTACTATGGTGCATCAGAATCAGAGGCAGAGTTTGAGTTTCTCAAGGTTAGGTTCATTTTATATGGATATATAAAGTGCTCTAATACACTGAATTTGAAATTTAGTGCATATTTTTAATACATGGATTCTAAAATGTATACAAAATATATAAACACAATAATAAGTCAGATAATGTCTGTATTAGTAAATATTTGATATTTCTTAGTAGCTTGTAAACATATAATGATATAAATATTCACTAAGAAATACTAAGTACATACATTATGAATGGAGTTTGGTCTATATAGCAAATCCAAATTGCTAATTCTTCTTAATATTTTACCCTTTTGTGGATCTTTTATTTGTCTCAATGTAGACTTACTTACTGATATTTTTTTTTATTGATTTTTTATTTTTTTTATATGTGTGTGTGTTTTAATTTTAGGGTATTTAACATTTAATAACCCTTCGAATTGTTTGTCTTAAAGGCGAGCCAGAGGCTGGCTGAGTATGGAGTCCATTTCCATCGAGTCCTTCCAGAGAAGAGGTCTCAATCAGGCGTCATGCTGGGAATCTACTCCAAAGGCGTGCTCATTTTTGAAGTCCTTAATGGAAATCGTACCCCAGTGCTGAGGTTCCCCTGGAGAGAGACCAAGAAGATTTCCTTTGCAGTGCGTACTTGTCGCTTATTTTGAATCTCTATAAATAATATCAGCTTTTATGGAAAGATTAGAGTAAATGTTTGTCTATTGTTTATTTCTCTCTTCCTTAAGAAAAAGAAAATTTGCCTTCAGAACACATCGGATGAGGTCAAACACCTTTTTCAGACTGACAGCAACAGGACATGTCAGTATCTGCTGCAGCTGTGTTCAGATCAGCACAAGTTCCACCTGCAGTCGAAGGCGCGACAAAACAACCAGGAGCTGCAGGATCTTGGTATGTCTGAAGTAGACTTACACATATCTAAACATCTATCTAGAAGGAGTATCCAAACCAATTTGGCTATTTTATGCACCTGTCAACTTGTATTTGTACAGCTATTGTTTTAACAGTTTTAAAACTCTGTATTACTGCAGCTTCAGTGATCTGCAGAGAGATGTCTCTGTTGAAAGCAATGAGAATATTAACATTAATCTCAGATGTTACATATTGAAATTAGTTTTGAACAATAATCAATATTATTGTATTGATTGAATATTATTGTATTGATTGAACAGCTAAGGCTGAGAACATTCAATCAAGTAGAAACATTTCACACCATCCTTCAAAAAAGCTTCACATCAAAAAGTACAAACTTCCAACTGGTGCTGTTTTTGAAGAGCAAATTAAATAATCCAATTTGGTTCTGAATCCTCCAATAGAAACCAGCATAAAATATTTTGCATTTCATCTTCTCGTTCATCAGAGAACTGCCCCTTGAGCAGCAGGCAATACTCCGTAGACTCTCAGGGTGGAGACGCATCAGCCCGGATAGCACGCCCCATCAGCCTGGCCCAGAGCTTATCCACGCGCTCCAACCCGGACCACCTGAAGAGGATCTCATACTCGGAGGTGGCTCTCAACAAGACACCGGCTGGCTCAGTATTAGTCCATGACGAGCTCCACCTTCCAGGTTACAACCCGCTAGCCTCCACTGCCTTAGCCCATCCACGATTGATGAGTCGGTCCCACCACAACCTGGCACAGATGTCAGAGTCGGAGCAGAACCCAGTGTTAGATTTGCTCCGTTCGTCAAACGCCAGATTGACCCAGCCCCAGTTAAACCAGGCAACTTCCAACTTCCAGCAACATCAGCGGGCAAGCTCAGACACCGATTCAATTTCTCATCTTCAGGACAAGTAAGTAAATAAAATGTAAATGTTCAGAGCTAAACGCTTTTTCTGAACACTGAACACTAAAGTGCATATTCTGAGGAGAACCGAAATTTCGCATTTTTTCAGCTGTATTTTACGAAACATTTTTCCAAGTTACTTATTTAGATGGGTCCCAAGTAGGAATGGGCAATAAACGAATTTTATTGATTAATCAAATTTTCTGTTTATGGTGATTTATATTTTAGAAAATCAAGTTTGTTTGTTTTTTTTATTATTATTATTATTGGTTTGTTCGTTTTTTTATACCAATGCACTCTGGGTTTTTGTATTTCATAGTGATATCAACCGACCCTATCATCTTATTTCACAAGCATATTTTGCAATTTGTATTTATTTCAACTTTAAATTCAGGTCAACATCCACATGAAATAATTGAAATAAAAGTTAAGCTAAGTTTCTGTCATTTGTCATTTATTTTTAAGAAAAGAAAGTGAGGAGAAAAAAAATGATTAGAATCCAATTTGTTATGAAAAAATCCTTTCCTCCCAGGCCTAATCCAGTGTGTGTTTGTAGGTTGTTTCTTTAAACCCCTTTGTGCTGACTTTAATACACAGTAAGATTATTAAGTGAGGATTTGTTTCAGGAATCTAACCTATGCTTTGACTTTAGAGACACAACTCTGCCTAATTGACTCTCTGGGGGGAATCTCTGTGTGTGGGGGTACACAATCCCCTGTGTCCGTGGGAGACTGTACCTGGCTCTGTGTTTGCTGGTTTATTTAGGGCTTGTCAATTTCCTTCTTGCCAGGAACTTCTAATGCATTGAGATTGCTTAGAACATTTTAAATAAACAGATGGACTCTGAGAAATGGTTGACTAAAGCACATCACTTTATAATGCATTTGGTTTCAGTTGTTTAGTTTTGCCTCCCTTGTTCATCCCACCAGTACTGAGCACAATCAAAGATGATTAACACTGGAAGGTGGAACAACATTCCCTCCCACCACATTTTGTTCCCCCTGGCTTCAAACAGATCTCTGCAGTTGTGAAATCTGGGGTTTTATCTCTTCAAATAGAGATTAATATTCTTATATCTGGAGAACGTTATTCATCTCTCTATTACTTCATGTTTGAACTATTCTTAACAATTCCCTATATGCTGGTCTGTACCAGTCTTCCCTCCACCAATTACAAACTTTCCAGAATGCAGCGCTCTCATCTTCTGAAGGCAACATTACATCCCGTTCCTCTCAGTCCATTTTAGAATCAATCATAAACTTTTAATGTTGGCTTATAAAGTTTAAAATGGTCTTGTCCCACCATATTTATGTGGCCTACTAAGGATTTACACTGCAGTCAAACAACCAGTTCTTTTTAAATGCTTCAAGGTCTAAAGTGAAATGAAAAAAGCACAGAAGCTTCTGTGGAGACTGAAACAAAACTGTTGAACAGAGTTTGGCACCTTGTTAGAGCAGATGATGTTCCTTCATTTCTGTTTATTTATTTTTTCTACGTTTTTTTTTTTTTTTTCCCGTTAGTGATTTGTAAAGATTATCTTTTTTAATGTGCTATATAGATAAACTTGCATCTTTCTCTCTTTCTCAGGCCTTTGGGTTCAGTTCTCCAGAACAGCCCATCATGGCACCTCGACCAGTCCAAAAAGGAGTCGGACTCATCTTCCATTGAGGACAATGGCCAAGCATATGTAGTTGGTAAGATTAATTTTTAGATTATTACAAAGAGAAAAATAACATATCTGAAGAGGTTTTCCATTTAAAAAAATTCTTGCTCAGACTGTAGACTGGAGCTTTCTGACTCCAGCATTTACATGGCTTAAGTACATTTTTCCACATTATATTGAGGCAAAACCTACTTAACACTTGTTTCTTCAGCATCAGAAGAAACAATTCTCTGGATATCGATTTTTCTTTTTGGAGTATCTAATAAGAAGAGTGAGCAAAGCTACATAAAAATCCTTTATTCTAGCTCTTGTGGAGTCCCTCAATTTGATAACAAACCTAATTTACTTAAATTAACTAAAAATAACCCAAACAAATACAGAGATATATTTATAGTAAATATTTCCTGAATACAAATGTGTTTTTATATATAATTTATTTAAAAAAGCAAGAAAAGTATTGAAATATTTTTCCATTGCACTGCAGGACTATTTTAAAAACAAGCATAGCCTGATCATCAACAGAACAACATATCTCCTGTACAATGAGTAAAAGTGAACCACTGAAGGCTGATCTCTTGTTCACAGGTGTCAGTATGCACAGTTCCTCTGGAGCTCCTTCAACTCCAGCTTCTGCTAATGGTATGCATGATGTAAAAAAAAAAAAAGTATTTAGGAATCTGCACTGAAACGTGACCATTTTCTTCTTTTGTTAGTTGACTGCACTTGACAGTACAATCTGGATACAAACCAAAAATAGAAGTTTGTAAATCTGGCTTGCATAATCTAGAATTGAGCCTTTGTTCTTATTTTGCTGCTGGCCTGTGGATCTGAACTTTGGCTACATTCCTGCGATTTAATAGCTCCATGCACATCTCTCGTTTCTTTTTTATCCTTGCTGTTTTGCTGAATTTGGAGTCCTTCATCACCACTCTGTTTTCATTTTGATTGGACTAATGGTTATGGTGTTTTTTTTTTTATGCAGTCAGGGTAGCCTACAGTTGATCCAGCTAATATTAAGAAATGCCTAATACAGAGAAGGGGAATTGTCTCCTGACAGTGATGTATTTAACTAAAAATGCTACTGTTTATTATCAATATTCATATTATTTTTATTGTACAGATTCTTTGAAGAAAAAGCTGAATGAGCTGCCATCTCTAGAAAGAGAGATCACAACTGTAAACTTAAAGAAAGATGCAAAATATGGGCTGGGTAAGAATCCATATTCATATTAATTTGTGATATTTACTTCACCAAAGAGAGAGTTTCTCACCATATAGTTGAACTACGGTTTTATCACAAACACAGATTTTAACTAACGGGCTGAAATAGTTTAAACTCAATTGGATTGAATGGATTTTTGTAGGGAACATAGTTTTTTCTAAGCTTTATTACAAATGCTTTGCTCATTCTTTTACCTGTGTCAGAACATGGCCTATAGTAAACTTTGTTGAAATAGGCTTAAAAAAATAGGGAATGTTATTACTTTTGTGAGTCTATATTTGTGCTTGTGTGTTTTTAGGATTTCAGGTTGTTGGAGGGGAAAACTCTGGCCGTGCAAACCTCGGTACTATCATTAGCTCCATCACTCCTGGAGGTCCTGCTGATCTAAACGGACTTCTAAAACCTGGTAGAAGACTAATTTATAGTGACTTTATTTTTACATCATGCTGCAAATTACTCCTTTGCTACATTACTTCGTTGTTAACAGTGACTAATTGTTTCAGGTGACCGGCTGATATCTGTGAATGATATAGACCTGGATGGATATCCTTATGATGAAACGGTTAACATCCTTCAGAGTGCTCCTGATGATGTCACTCTGGTAGTGTCACAACCAAAAGAGAGGCTGTATCAGGATAAACGTAAGAATATAAATCTGTTTAAGTTGCAAGTAAAATGTCTGATTATTTACATTCCTCTTAGGCTTACATCACTGCCTGTTTCCCTTCTTTTGTCAGATTCTTCTCCATTTCTTCCCCAACCACCCAAATCATATTTTAATTCACCGAAACCTGCTCAGAGATCAGAGCGAGAGGTTGACCCATCATTAGAGGAACATCATGGCACGGTCAGCTCCAGTCTTCCTCTGCAGGGCGCCGGCACTCCTACGTCTGCCTCCTCTTCTAAAATCAACCAGCCGCCTCGTGATAGACTTCAGCAGGCGCTAGAAAGAGTGAAAGCTGCTGCCTCCTCTGAAACCGCTACTGAATCTCGAGAACCAGAGCCAAAGGCTGTATTGAATCAGTTGCCTCCAGCTCTGCCTCCAAAAACTAGAAGAGTCAAACTTTCAGTAGTTCCTCCGGTTTCTGAGCAGTCCGACAGGGGGGATACAGACATGGATGAAGAGACTTATTCCAATAGTCAAGAGAAAGTGAAGGCTAAAAAGGTGCGGCCCTTGTTGTTATGAATTTAGTGCTTTAAATAATGTTTGCCTGCCATTTCCCAACATAATAGTTTTGAGAGACCATAAATCATCTTTTAGTTTTGTTGGAGCAAATCCTTCACCCATGAACACAAGCATCACAGATTAGTTGCCTGATGCTTGACCTATTGTTATGGGTGTTGGTGGAAAGCACTTTTTTTTTTTTGCCTGTATACTGCATGATATGCATCTGACTCCAATAACAACAAATTTATCTTCTTCACTTGGCCTTGATCACCCTTTTCTCACTGCATGTTCAATTCACCTTGATGCCATGTTCTCTGTTTACAGGAAAACATCATGGAAAATTTAAATGGTAATGCCCCAGGGGTCAATAGTCTCCGTCCAGGAGATCTATTTGACGTTGAGCTGTCCAAAATAGACAGCAGCCTGGGCATAAATGTCACGGTACTGTTCGACAAGGTTTTCACCCTCTCTTTTGGCTCCTTTCTGGCTCATCCTCCTCACTGTCGCTCTTCTGTGTTTGGTTTGTTTTTGGTTGGATTTCTTAATGCTTTCTTTTGGAATAGCTTCTGGTGATATAACTAATTTTGCATGTGTTTTGCTTTTTATCTTCATTTTAAAAAATGCTAATAAAGTCCTGGACTTTGGCAATAATGACCAACAACTGCATACAAAGAGCCGCTTTGTGGGATTTTCTATGGCTGGCTTCAGTTTATGACAGATTTTTTCTGGAGCGCCATTAATCAAACTTTCCTCTCAGGGAAATCAGAAATTAATTTGCTGGGATTTCTACTTAGAAACAGCAACATTCAATTTACCAGTTACTAGATTATGTATGTTCACATAAGCTGAGAACAACCGTATGTTAACCTTTGCATTATGGTTAGTGACAATTTATTGTCTTAACATTTCTAACATGTGTAGAATTTATTTAGGATTTGATTATGCACATCTTGAGGTCATACTATATTCATTGAAAGATCAAATCGTTACCTGAGTGTTGTTGATCATTTGTGCTTTACATCTCTAACTTATATTTGTCAATAACATCATGTTGAAGAATGTGGTATCATTTTCAGATAATATTTTGCTGAATGATAAATGTTTCAGCTGTTATCTTAGAAAATCGAGACTTATTACTCAGTACTCCAATAGTTGTTAGCACCCTGCTAAAGCCCTAAAATAATTTCAGATCCTTTTCCTGTAGTGCTCTGCCACTTTCTAGTTTTGCAGATTTCTTATACAAAGTTGTAAATCTGGCTTTCATATTTCTTCTGTTTTTGATTTAGATCTTCAAATTAATTCAAATGTTATACAGAGATAATCTGAGTAAATTAACAATGCAGTTGTTACACTGTAGTTTAATTTATTGAAGGTAGAAAAACGTTCTGACTGTATGTGAAATGTTATTGTCTCCCAAATGTAAAAACTGGTTGTGCCCCACTGGCAGCAACAACTTATAATTTTAAGTCCACACTTTGTCTCGGCTGCTCCAGAACCTTTTATTTTTTTCAGACATGTAAAAGCCATTTTTCAACTTCTTCTAGAAGTTGAAACTACTGTAAAACTGACTGTCAACCATGTTTGACAGTCAGCCAAAATGTAATTTCTCCAAAACGTTGTAAAACTGTTGTTTTACCCACATTATCTTTGTCTGACATAAAAATCTGCTTGCTGTAAAACCTTTCATGTGGCAGGAAATGCATGAAAAGTATCTTTCACTGTTGAGTCGAGGAGATGTTTAGTTTGCGTTTCATGGTATTATTTTGGTCTAATATTAAATTAACTTGCTCTGAAACCTTAATGTGACAAACAAAGCAACAGCAGAAGAAATTTTGAAGGAGTTAAATACTTTTTCCCAGTGCTATACCTCCCTTGCCATCCTCCTGACTGTGCATGACAGCTAAACAAACTCTGGTCCTCATTCAGCCTTTTTTTTTGGCCACAGTTCCAGTTTTAAACTTATTAGCTATTGTTCTGACGGTACAGGCAAATCTAGGCAAGTAGCTATTCATCTTCCTACAAATGAACTGATTTAGCTCCATAAACATTTGCTTTACTTTAATAACATTCTCACCCATTTTTAGGAGTGCCAAGTGGCTTGTCAATGTCAGCTTTACAACTCAGAGAAAAAGGAAAGCCAAAGATCACAAATTCATAGTGCTAACTCAGACTAAAGACACTGATGCCATGATTTTATTGAAAAAAAAATTTTTGTGATTTTTTTATTTATTTATTTTTTAATATTGGGGATAAAAAAGCAATCTCAGCAATTTTGACATCTTTACCAGAGTATTAATAGTTGCTGAGAGCACTGGAAAAGGTCCAAGACTTGTTTAATATAATTAAAAAACTCAATGCCTAGACATTTTATTCGATAGAATAGAATAGAAAAAAAAACTTAACATTAACCCAAATAGAAAATCGTAAAAGTATCAACTCCCTTTGGCTGAAGAGTTTTTTTTTTTTATTATTATTAGGGTGGATCTAATACAACAGTGCGACATGGAGGCATCTATGTCAAAGCCCTGATACCTAAAGGAGCTGCAGAGCTTGATGGGAGGATACAGAAAGGTCAGCAGTTAAAAACCGATGCTACAAACATTGAAGTGGAGATAAATTAACTAATTATGGGTGTGTCATTGGTGCAGGTGATCGAGTATTAGCGGTCAATGGAAAAAGTCTAGAGGGAGCTACTCATCACCAGGCTGTTGAAGTCCTCAGAGACACAGGCCAGGTGAGGGCTGGCGCTTACATAGTTAACAAGCTGTTCAGCAGATGGCTTTGGACGATATGTAAATCATGTTTTGTGTGTGCAGACGGTTCACTTGCACCTGGAGAAAGGTCTTTCACCTATGAACAGCAATCAAGCTCCCCTCACCCCTCAACCCAACACCCGCATGTCTGCCAATAACCACACTCAAGCAAAGGACAAGGAGCAGCCACCAGAGGCCAAAGATAAACCCGAGTACAGCTTTGTCACGCAAGGTAAGACTTAATGAGGAGGATTCTTAGATGGTGTGTAGCTTCACAAGATTTTTCTTGAAAAGCTCATTAGTTTCCACAGACTGAGGTTGCCTTATCTTGAATACCACTGATTTTTTTTTTTTTTTGAGCCAGCAATTTTTCAGAAATATTCACAATGCAACCTTTGTTCTCACTCCCGGCAAAGTAACTTGCCATAGATAATGTGATTTGAAAGGAAATGAGCATGTCCGAACAGGCTACTAGCTGTGCCCTGATGCCTATTTGGGGCTGAGCGGGCAGTCAGAACAAGCTGAACTTCCTAGAACTGGAGAAGAAGCCAAACACATTTATTCCTGGAATGACTTTGATTAAACATTTAAAAATTACATGTTTGTTTTTGTATTCACCTCGTTTTTAAGTAAATGTACTAGAAATATATGTTTTAATTAAACACGAAACACCACAAATAGTTGCATCAGCAGTTGTGACTACGCCTCCAGTTGTTTAATAGGTTTTACTGTATGCGACCCATTGTTAAATTGTATGCAATTGGTTTATGTTAAATTACATAATGTAAGACAGCTATAGTATCCTAAAATTTACCATCTCTGCTGTGCAGATTCATTCATACTCTGATGTAGAACAGGTTTACCTGGTTTTAAATTCTTGTTCAATCTACCATTTGAAAAATATGACACAATTGTGGCCGCCTGGATGTAGCTGTCCACTTATACTGACTAGACAAAAAGAGCTTTGATCAGAGAGACCACCAGCTCAGGTGGAAGAATCTGTGAAGAGGACAACTATTAGCACTGTACAAGTGCTAATGTGGTCTGTGTATTCAAAGAAAAAGTGGCTAAATTGTTGGGTCTGCCATTTTCCACAAGCCATTGAGAGGATGCAGTAAACAAAAACTTCTCCTTGAAGTCGCTTTGATAGAATTTTTGTTTTGCAAATAAATTTCAGGCCGTAAATATGGAAAGCTTGAAGATGTTCCCCAAATGGACTTGCAGCTGCAATTGCATGTGTTTTTCATGAAGTATACTGAGAAAGGATTGCATATAAATGCACACTAAATTTTTCAGATTCTTCTATGTAAAAAGGGAAAAAAAACATGTGAAAAACCTCTAAGGGTGAAAAAATGAAGACTTCAAATCTTTTACCTCTAAGAGTCGGGTTTAGATGTAAATATGCAGCCTAGAGGCAGGAATTTCAGGGCATAATTGTGACTAATCAGGCCAAAACTATCTAGTCATACTTTAACCAGCGAACTGAAATGGCTGAGTAGCTTCTGATTTAGTTGGTAATTAGATTTGTTTCTCCAAGAAGGTTGTGCAGCCAAATGGAAATTTCGGGTAATGGCACAAAGTAAGAAGAAAATCTAATAACAAGTAACTTTCATTCTTTATTAACTGAACCTTCAGCCAATGCTCGACTTGGTTCTCACTGCAGATTAACATCTTCATTCTGACAGATAACATGTTTGAGGTCCGTCTGCTGAAGAACACTTCTGGACTCGGCTTCAGCTTCAGTCGAGAAGAGCACGCCCCTGATGAGCCCAACGGCCCCAGCCTGGTGAGAGTGAAGAAGCTTTTCCCGGGGCAACCAGCTGCAGAGAGTGGCCGCATTCATGTGGGCGACGTCATCTTGCGAGTCAACCAAACCTCGCTGAAAGGACTCTCACAACATGTTTGTACTTCTTTGTTTTTGTGTGTGTAATTGGAATTCAAATTTCTCAGCAGCATTATTTTGGTCATTATGTTTTTTTTTAAAATCACATATATTTTTGGGGGGCATTTGTTTGCACCTAGGAGGTGATATCAGCTTTACGAGGAACTGGACAGGAAGTGACGCTCCTGCTCTGTAGGCCTGAAAAAGGTGTTCTTCGAGATCTGGATGCCTCAGCTTTGGTGAGCTGCTTAAAAAACAACAAAAACATTTTTATATCTACGATTTGTTAAATAATAGAAATAAAAAATAACATATTTCTTCTTAGACACCCAAGCCATCACCTAGGAAGGTGCCTGTAACCATTACAGAACCCAATCTGAGCTTGAACAGAACAGCATCTCCTCCAGGGACGACTCCGAAAACTGCCGTGGAAGAGGCTCTGGCGAGGCTGAACTTCAAGAGCCCCGGCCGACACAACAGCTACAGCGACAGCACCGACGGTGATGAGGAGGTGGAGAAAGCTTTCACCTCCAGCGCCTTTGAGCACAGCTTGCAAAACTGGGACAGGAGTGTCTATCAAACGCCAGGTGGCAACTCAGAACTGGGACGCTTTGACAGCTCCGGTCAGCTGGACGGCACTTTCCACTCTGCTTTTTATTCTCCGATCCTCTCAAAGACAAGATTGGACCTCAGCAACAGGTAACTGATCTGTAATGCACTCCCTTGCAATTGCAGACATTCAGCTTAGGTCCGAGTTTTCAACATTACCAGAAACGGCATATTTCATCACAGGTGATTAAAAAAACAGAAAATTTTCAGTACCTTTCTGTTATCTGCTGAAAGTCTTGCTTCTCTCACTCTTAGCATTCTGTGGCTTCCTTCATCTCTGTGCTTCCTTTGACTTTAGTTTAGACACCTCACTGACTTATAATTTCTAACTTAGTTTTGTTTGATGAGACTGATGTTTGACAGTTTCTTGATGCATCTTTGGGTCTTCTTTTTTTAAATATTTCCTTAAATCTTTGCAAATGTTTTGAAAGGAGTTCTTCATCACCTGTGGAAGTTGATATGGAGTCATCTCCTCTGCCTTTGACATCCTCCGCCTCTGCCCCCAGTCCTGATCCCCTGCCCCCTCCACTGTCACTACCCTTAAAATTTAAAGTCCCCAGCAATGCACAGGATATAGAAGAAGTGATCTCGGTAAGGACATGAGAAAAGAGGAATGGTGTAATGTAAGACAGCTGTGCTAAAATAAGGATCTAGATCTGTTCATACATGTTCATTCCTAAAACGAAGGGTATTTTTTTGTTTTTTGTTAAGGAAGCAGAGCTGATGATTTCTTTGTTGAAGTCAGATAAAGGCAGTCTTGGTTTCACCCTCACCAAAGGCAACGATCAAGGGTGTTACATCCATGACATTGTCCAGGATCCGGCCAAAGCAGATGGACGGCTTAGGCCTGGGGACCGAATGATCAAAGTATGAATTCACAACAATGTCTTCATTTTTTTTTTATTTGTCTGTTCATTTGAATAAAAAAAATACTGTAAATTTAATTTCTAATTAGTTCAGATTGAGAGTCGCATCTTTTTTTTAAAATTTTGATCATTGCTCTATTAGCATTGGATAGGTATTTCAATTAATTTTGAACTATTCCTTGTTGTGAACGCATTCTTTTCTTCCAACAGGTTAACAACACAGATGTGAGTACAATGAACCACACTGAGGTGGTCAGTCTGGTCCGTGCAGCCCCTCCTCTTGTTGATTTGGTGGTTGGAAGGATTCTGGAAGCTCCCAAATTCCCAGTGGAAGCCCACCTGCTCCCTGATATTTGCTTCAGGAGCAACCAAGAGCCACTGGGTGAGAAACGCCTTTTAGACGTTAAAATATGTTCAATTTGTTGGCAGACTCTTTTGTATTATGAATTATTTCCTCTGTCTAAGTGAACTTTTATCTTTTTTTTTTTGTTTGTTTGTTTCTTAGGATTGGTCCTAGATGGGGGAAGGGACAGCATTTATGGGGTCTTATTTGTAAAAGATGTCATACCAGGTTCACCAGCCTCAAAAGAGGGAAGCTTGAAACCACTTGATCTTATCCACTACATTAATGGGGCTCCAACCCAGGACCTAACTCTGAGTGAGAGTACCAGACTCCTGGAGCTGTCCCAAGATGACCTTTGTCTGAAGGCGACAAGGTATTACGCACTCAACATTTGATCTATCTAATATCTAACTTGTGTTGTTTTATCTTGGTAACTTATAAAATGTCAACAAAATAATTTCAGAAACTAAATTTTTTACTTGTTCTGTTCTTTGTCTCTCAGAGACGGAATGCCTGTATCTCCTGAACATAAACATGTCACTTTCCTGGACAACATTGGCTCCAAGCTGTCATCCAGCATGAATGGTTTGTTTTGGATGTTGAAGACTTTTTTTTTGGGGGGGAGCTTCATTTCATCTGACCTGTTTTTAGTGTAACAATAGCATTTTTTTGTTGCTTTAAGGGTTTCCTCAAAAGAACGGTTCCAGAGACACTGAGGATCTGGCCAGACTTTGTCCTGCAGAGGTGAGTCTGGAAACTCATTTTAAGTTTTTGTGGTAAAACTTTAACGTTTGTTATTTATTTGTAAGTAAGCCCACACAATGTCCTTCAAAGGTTTTCAGGCTCCTTGAACTTTCACTTTTTTATATTGGCCTATTTAAATAAAACCCAATGAAATACATTACAGTTTGTGGTTTTTATCTGACCAAATATGAACAAATTCCAAGGACTAGAAGTGTTTTTGCAAAACACTTTAAACATGTTTCAGCGTTTCTGACAAATAGTCACCGTGAGTTTCTGTTAAAGGGAACCCCATATTTTTCTTATTGTGAGTGTAGGAGGAGATTATAACGTTGGATCTAGAGAAGCCACCGTCTGGAGGCCTTGGTTTCTCTCTAATTGGAGGGGAGAGGGGAATCTTTGTGAAGTCCATTACTCCAGGTGGCGTCGCAGAGTCCTCAGGACAGCTGCAGGTTGGAGACAGGCTGCTTAAAGTGAGCACTGTTAGACTATTGTTGTTTCTCATATAATCTCTGTTTCATACAGTAGCCTCAAACACATATTCAACCTTTTTGAGGGTTTTAATATGACTGACTGTCTTTCATCTTCTAGGTAAATGATGACCTAATGACTAATATCTCCCACACCAAAGCCGTCACTACCATTCGGAAATCTAAAGGTCTCGTACATATGATTGTTTCAAGACCACCTGATCAGAACCCAAACACATACCTGGCCTATCTACCTATGAACTCTGACAAGTGCAATGGTAACACAGGTACAACCCAGGGCTTCAGTGCTGCTCTTCAGGTTTTTATTAACAGCTGCTAAACTTGAATTTAAATGTTTATTATTATTATTATTTTAGATCTGAGTGAGGACAGCGGAGTGACCACTAAACTTCGGATGTTGGTTGAACAGAAATCCACCAACATTCCTTCCATACCACCAATAGGTACTGTAGATAAAACGATAGAGCAAATTAACTGAGTGTACAAAAAAAAACGTTAAATTTCCCTCTTAATGTTTCTAATTCACTTTGACAGACTACGACAATGATCCTCTTGAGGAGAAAAAAGACACAGAGCTTTCAGAGGACACAGACTGTGATGGATCCTCTTTACCTGAAGACTCTCCTGTGGTACAAATTCAACATCCCACTTAATAACACTCAGCCATTAAGATGTTTCTTTATTATTAAATTGTTCATTTCTAATCCAAACAGAGTTCTCGGAAATCAATATGGCAAGAAGAGAGTGTTGATGTCCCAAGGAATGAAAAGTATGAGTTTGGATTTGGATGTAAACTTTAGCAAAATGAAGGTTGTAATACTATGTTTTCTGAAAAACGTACACCGTTTCTGCTCAAAACAGCAGCTACCTGCAGATGAGTGCAGTGCAGCCAGAAGATGAGGACCTCACATGGGGAAGTGATGAGCTCCCCATAGAAAAGATCAGCTCCCAGTCAACAGATGGTAGGGTTTCATTTTTTGAATAAATGAAACTTGGGATTTGATTGGTTACAGGAAGGAGAGTTGAGTGATTTAGTTTTGGATTTATCTGTTTCTTTCACACAGACAAATCAATCATCACTAAGGACCAGCTGACTGCTTTACCCCTTGTCAAAGTGGTTCCTGGTGGCCAGTACACAGGAACTAATCTCCACTCTAAAGTTCGCGTGATAAAGGGGCTCCTGGACCAGAAAATCCCACTTCAAGAATTTGAAGTAAGTTTGGATTTAAATGCTTGTAGTTGCTGGTACAGGACCTGTTTTCAGGGAATATATGGGGTTCGCTTACAGGCCTGAAGAATGTGAAATTTCATTTTAGTTTTTTTTTTTGTCCTGACTGGAAGGAAAACACAGAATTTGGACAAATATTTGCATTCCCAGACCTTATTGATGTTGACGTTGTTAGTACTGATAAACCTTGCGGCAACATGGTCAATTATTCTTCTAGTACTTTAGCTTCCTCCACCAGACCAGAAATATGTTTCTATGTATGAAGATCTAATCTAATTTGGAATCCCTTCATTTCCCAATTATCACACCTCGCAAGTTTAGAGATGTTCACCCAGAGTTTTAGTAAAGCATAACAAATGATATTTGATCAAAATTTGAAAACATTAGTTTTTATCTTTCTATCTCTTAGAATCTTCAGAATCTACAGCCACTCGATGACTGCTTAGTTGGTCAGACCAAGGAGAACAAGAAGAAGAACCGCTACAAGAACATTATTCCATGTAAGAAAAGCATCATAGTTTTTTCCGCTTGGGGTTTTTTAGTTAAAACTAATAATACTAAGTTCATATCTTCTAGTCGACACGACTCGTGTAGTTATTGGCAAAGATGGTGGATACATCAACGCCAACTTCATCAACATGCAAGTGAAGAATGAGCACTTCAAGTACGTCGCCTGTCAGGGACCTTTGCCCACCACACTGGGCGACTTTTGGCAGATGGTGTGGGAGCAGAATTCCAACGTGATAGCTATGATGACTCAGGAGATCGAGAGCGGCAAAGTGAAATGTCAGCGGTATTGGCCGGACACGCCGAGGACGGCAGAGATGGTGGACGACAGGTTGCAGATAAAGCTCGTCAAAGACCAGCACCTAGACCACTTTGTCATTCGCCTCATTGAGGTCAAAGATGTCCAGGTGAGCACAAGTTTATGCTGATTTACGTGTCGGGTAGATTAAATGGGACCTTTAACATCCATGTTTTTCTCTTTAAGACTAATGAAAGGAAGCTTGTCACTCATCTGAACTACACCGGATGGCCTGACCATGGAACACCCTCTCAACCCGAGCATCTGCTCACATTTATTTCCTACATGAGACACATTCATCGATCAGGACCCGTCATCACACACTGTAGCGCAGGCATCGGTCGCTCAGGGGCCCTTATCTGCATAGATGTGGTTCTGGGCCTCATCAGTAAAGATGCAGATGTAAGTGTGCAAAGTTTTGTTTATGGGGCAGGTTTGTTTCATTGCTGTAATCTAATAACTGTTTTTTGTGTTGTTTTTTTTTCCTCCCTTTAGTTTGATATTTCAGATATTGTGCGAAATATGAGACTTCAGAGACATGGAATGATCCAGACAGAGGTAATTATCTTTGATGTATTTAGTAGCTGAATTTATTATAATAATATCTCAATTGTTTAGCTTATCTTTCATTGCTTGTTTTGTTTTAATAGGAGCAGTACATTTTCTGCTATCAAGTGGCCCTCTACGTCCTCAGATGCCTTAAAGCAGAAGAAAACATCTCAGGATAGTAACCATATCTTCTAGGTCCTGGGTGACCAGCCAGAGCAAAGCAGAACAAGTCAATACAGGCAGAAATTGGCAAAAATTACACTGCTCTTTAATGCCTCATCTATTTTTTTCTCCAAGAATAAATCATTTAAGAAGTATATTTTCTATTTTCGCTTTTTGTTCTCTATAGCTGCTGCTCTTTTTCACTGCATTTATGCAAGCTGCTGATTGTATTTCCTATCAAACAAGAGAACATTAATGTTTTATTTTTCCTTTAGATTTTTTTTTATTGATGATGAAATGATTTTATATTTTATGTGGAACATTTATGTGTATTTTGATGCTTGAACTGGCCTTGACAGAATACTGTGTCAGTATTTGCTATTTAAATCTATTATGCAGTTATTATATACTGCCTGAGGCAAATGATAAACTGAAAGTGTACATATTAATCTCTGGAAAATTCAACTGGATATGTTTGAAATATTATGTAGAGGGAAATTTCTTTCAAATAAGATCAAATATTAAAAGTTTTATTTGTCTTGTCATATTTTATTGTTACGTTTATTATTGCATCTTACAGCTGTTTCGGTTGCATTCATGCTATATAATACAATGGCAGTCACACTCCAAGCTTCAATCATTATATTGTTAAATACAATTCTGGTGGATAACAATCTCCCAAAATGTCAGAAGAAGAAACATTGCTGTATTTACTTTATTACCCCTCCGACATAGATGCCATAAAAGTGACTGCACTCTAAAAAGTATTATATGGGCTGAACTTGGTATGTGGTATGTTGTGCTCTATTGAAATGTTATTGTTCGACTTCACGTTTACACAATAAAACATTTTGAGTCTGAAGACTATGAATGATGTACATTGCAACCTTCACAATGTAACAGCCTTCATGTGTTATTGAAATACATTTTTACACATATTTCTTTCATCTACGTCTGTATATTTTAAGGCATTTTGAACCTATATTCCAGACTGCAAGCATTTGAACATTTAGTGCAGACAGTAGCTGACGACTTCTACCACTATGTGGTGGTAAAATATGGATTTTTGTTTTGATCTAAGCTAATTGGAAGTATTTGTTCTGGCATATTTTGTAATATTTGGAAATTGCAGTGCACAGTTCCTGCATAGTCTGGAAATGTATGGAACATAATTTTATTTTCTAAGTGTGCAAATGTGTTGAAAATATTTGCATTTCTTTGTGTTATTCTTATTTTTATTTTTTTAGTCTGAAGGTTGTCCTTCCTTTGTCCCTCAAGAGTTTCTGTCATTTTTCTTTTCTCCCTTCATTTCTCTCTAGTTCTTTCTACATTTTGTCCTTCTGTCCTGCTTTCTTTCCTTCCTGCTGTAATTTGTTCCCTCCTACTATTTTCTTGTTTTTTATATGTTTATATATTTCTAAGCCTGTATGTTGTTGGCATATTTACTATAATTTTGTAGTGAACTTTAGTATTTCATATAAGTCTATGCAAAGGACTTGAAATTGCGAAAATTAGGTCCAAAAAGTGGAATTCTTTTATGAAAAGTATGTAGGAACCCTGTATGCAGATGCACTGTTAAGAACAATAAAACTTGTTGCTCAAAATGTTTGCTAATATTCACTGATCTGGCCAATTGTTGAAGGATTCCATATTTTCTGTTCAACAATGGAGTGCTTAACAATACACTAAGTCTAAGTTAGGTGTAAAAAAATAAAATAATTTCAACCCTTAGTGTTTTGAAGCTACAAAAGTATGCATAGGGATTCTAATTTCAGGAATATTGAAAAATTCAATTACTATTTGGATGAGTGCAAAAATCAACAATATTGTATTTGCTCAGACTAGGTGTCAGAAATCATATCCACAGGGTAATAAAGCCTTGGAGAGCTCCATATGGTCAACAGCTTAGATGTTTATAGTTGAGCCACATTGCCTCCTTGTGGATACATTTATTTGAATCAGAGTAAAACTAAAACAGCCTACATGAAGTACTTTGTAAAACTATTTGATTTAGCGTAAAAAGAAATATGTTTCATTAAAATGTTTATAGAGATGTGTTTACTTGGGCAAGTGAATTTGTAATATAATATATCAAAGTATAAATACATGTTCCTGCTTTTCCTAATTAGACTAAGAAAAATATAATAATCACACTAAAAACTGTTATCCATATGCCTCCTTGATGGATTATTCATAGATTATCCATAGGCTAATTTATGGATCAAAATTCATCATGAAGAATGCATCATGCTGACAGGCAAGCTGGAGTCAATAAAACTTACAACATTCCCTTGAAAGGAACTTTATTTTTTTATTTCTTATAGGTAAGTAACTACGCAAAATGTTAAAAACATGGATTTTTGACAATCAGAACATGCAGCGTTAAACTCGAGGTTGCAACACTGCCAATTTGAAATATAGATGTCTTGAAATTTGTTCTAAATGACACACTCTGGGAAAAAAAATAAGAAACACTGTCCGACTTTTTTTGCAACACATTATTTCATTATCTTCCCTAACGCAACAAAATTAGTTTGACCCGAAATAATCTCACTTTTGATTTTAAAAAGTTCGAGGAATGTATTTTGGATTATATGCCAACAAACCCTCCTGCCTTAGCAGAAAGCGGAAATGACGACCGCGTAGACGGACGTGACGTCGCCCCCCGTGTTTTGTATGTAATGGCAGCATACACATTGGCCACGCTTGCCTTATAAAAATAGTTATTGTTGTTTTTTCCCCCTCCTTGGTTTGAATAAACTGTAGTCATGCCGGGCAGACAAAGCAACAAATTACCCAACAACTTACCGCAGCTCCAGAATCTCATAAAGAGAGACCCGCAGTCATATGTCGATGAGGTAGGTGCTGGGAGGAAACGGGGGTTAAAGTTGTGCAGACATTGTTTTTGACGCTTCTCTTCTGCTCCAGTTTCTCCAGCAGTACCGCCATTATGAGTCCAATGTGGAGATCTTCAAGCTGCAGCCTGACAAAGCCAACAAGGACTTGGCGGAGCTGGTCATGTTCCTGTCTCAGGTATCATTCACCGGGAGGACAGCATGCGCAGCATGGAGTGGGTAGAAACGTGTTGAAATGTCTCCCTGCTCTCCTCAGGTGGCTCACTGCTACACGCAGCAGCTGTCCACGTTTCCTCGGGACGTGTCTGAGTTACTAAGGAGCTACCACACCATCATAGAGCCAGAGCTGCGAATGGTGAGAGGCCTTTTTGAAGATAATGATAAACATGTGCAGCATCATGCACATCATTAAGATGTACAAAGATGTTAAGTTGTTGTTGATGGAGTCCTTTTGTTCTTGGCAGACTTTCTGCAAGGCGCTGATTCTTCTGCGGAATAAGGATCTGATCGACCCCACAGTCCTCCTGGAGCTCTTCTTTGAGCTGCTGCGGTGTCATGATAAACTTCTCAGGAAGGTCAGCCTGGAAAATCCAAACACACTCATTAAAGTTCTTCACATTTTTCATGACTGCAAAGATGTTGTTTATGTGGCAGACCAACTAGGAGAGGGCAATACGGGCACAAAGTTATATCTAGCCTATTGTGGTACAGTTGTATTATCAATAAAAGTAACAATGAGGACTATTACTTCTTTTTTAGGGAACAATATGGATGTGACTGCATGGCACAGTAATTACGGCCCCACAAACACAAATACTACTCTTGAAAAACATACCCATTTGTAATATGCTTCTTTGGGATAGCAGTGATTTGTCTCTAAAGTGCACACAGTAACTGCATTTAATCATTCAAATTTGTTATTTTTTTTACACTCTCATTAAATTGACAGTGGGGAAGAAATGTACAAGTAACAACCCTGACAATGACAGTTTCACTTGAAAAAAAACCCAACAACATATTAATAATAAATCAAAATCTTAAGTTAAAAAATGTACCACAATGATAAACAATGGGATAAATGCCCACCCCTCAGATCAACACAAGTAATGCATATGTGTGAAATGGAAATGTATATATTTTTTATCCTCAGACTCTTTACACACACATCGTGACAGATATCAAAAACATCAACGCAAGGCACAAAAACAACAAGATCAACACAGTAAGTTGAGTGTATCTGAGTCTATGACAATTTTCTGTGATCAACCAGCTTAAAATGATCATATCTGTTGCATTGTGCTTCGTTACAGATCCTACAGAACTTTATGTACACAATGCTGAGAGACAGTAACCCCATAGCAGCAAAGATCTCCTTAGATGTCATGGCTGAGCTTTACAAGAGGAACATATGGTGGGTTTCATATAAGAGCCGTGAAACCCGGTCGTTCCTTGTGAATTGTTGCGTCTCATAATCTGATTTTATTTCTGCTCAGGAATGACGCCAAAACGGTTAATGTCATTACAACAGCATGCTTCTCCAAGGTGACAAAGGTAGGCTTTTTGTTTAGGGGGAAGGGATGCATTTCTCAATCTGTACCAAAAAGTAAATAAGTAAACGTGACGTGCCTCTCCACTAGATTCTTGTTGGAGGCCTAAAGTTCTTTTTGGGAAAAGACGAAGACGAAAAAAACGAGAGTGATTCGGAATCTGAGGTAAGTTTTGACGCACAAGGTGGTCACCTGCACAATGACCTCTGCAGGTCATTGTGCAGGTCAGACTGTCTTTGAAACCTCAAAGTAAAAACAAATCTCTTTTTGTTTTTTTTTCTTTTGTAGAACGAAGGAACGTCTGCAAGAGACCTGATGGTGAAATACTCGACAGGCAAAAAAACCACCAAAAACAAGAAGAAGATGGAAAAAGCGATGAAAGTCCTCAAGGTAGCATTGTTGTAAAAATACAGAAGCAGTCGGGACAGTCCTCATTCAAAATACTTAGCAATGATGTGCACCTAATGTACTATACAACTATGAATGTTTCCATTTAAAGTTGGAATAAACAATGGGGTGTCCTAGTTTAATCCTAACCAGAAATATGCATTTTAATTACACATGTTGTTGTTGTATGCTGTTTGACCGTTAATTCGGTCAATTTTTTTCTAAACTAACTGCAGAAACATAAAAAAAAGAAGAAGCCTGAAGTCTTCAATTTTTCGGCGATCCACCTCATTCACGATCCTCAAGGTACGCTCAGTTACTGTCTCTGTGCTCTTATGCAGTGATTGGCTTTCTTGTTTACTGAGCAACTAACATCAAGTCAATCTTTTGATAAAGATTTCTCAGAGAAGCTCTTGAAGCAGCTGGAAAGCTCCAAGGAGCGCTTTGAGGTGAAGATTATGATGATGGAGCTCATCTCTCGTCTGGTTGGAATCCATGAGGTCAGTTTTGTTTTCGATTCAGCATGTCTCTATTATCTTATGAAATCAATCCAATATTAAGGAATCATTTTTGCTACTTGGCTCCTGCAGCTCTTCCTCTTCAATTTCTACCCCTTCATCCAGAGGTTTCTGCAGCCGCATCAGAGAGGTAAGTGTCGCTCGGTGTGGTGCTGCGCTTTGTTTTGGGGATTTTTCTAACGGTGCGCTGCCGTCTCTACAGAGGTTACAAAGATTCTGCTGTGTGCCGCCCAAGCTTCACACCAGCTGGTTCCACCTGAGGTACATCCTAAGCTCACTCTGCAATTTACAAAGATTACACATCAGGGTGTGAGATTGTTTATGTGTGTTGCCCTCTGCAGGTCATTGAACCTGTGATCATGACTATTGCCAACAACTTTGTGACTGACAGGAACTCTGGGGAGGTCATGACTGTCGGGTAAGTAGTTAATTCACATTTAATAAATGCCCAAATGTCCTTTTTCACCTCTTTGTGGACAACACTTAGAACTGTCAGGGTTTTGTGATGGAAAAAAACAGACAATGTTTAGTTATTTTATAGCTTCCTCCATATTTATATTTGTTGTTTTTTTTACCTATGTTGTGAGACAGATAATCTGTGAAAATATTAAGTCCTCTGCCTTCTCCCAATTCTCCCAGTGTTATCTAGAAGTAACCAGTAAGAGCCAGGAGGAGGGTCTTAGTGCTGTCAGTCATCTCTGATATACTTGGCCATTGTTTTAATTTAAGGTTGTGTACAGTGATGCACCGAGTTTATTGACACATTTGAGAGATTGATCATATTTGCACTTTTTAGCATCAACGCCATCAGAGAGGTGGCAGGTCGCTGCCCGCTCGCCATCAATGAGGACCTACTGCAGGACTTGGCTCAGTACAAAACCCACAAGGACAAGAGTGAGCAGATTTTCTTCTGTTTATTTATTAAATCGTTTTGTATTTTTTATAATATATTATATATATTTTATAATATATATATATATATATATATATATATATATATATATATATATATATATATATATATATAATTTCTTATTCACACTGTGTTTTGCCACATTTCAGATGTAATGATGTCTGCCAGAGGATTGATTCAACTGTTCAGAAATCTCAATCCACAGTTGCTGCACAAAAAGGACAGGGTGAGATCATGATGTGTGTCAAACCTTAACTCTCATTAGCCCTAATACGGTGTACTCAATAAGGAACAAGAGGAGCAATACAACATCACATTGAATTTATAATTTATGCTTAAAAAAATAAGTTGGAAAACTTGTTCCATTGCTGCTTTTTCAATTTTTAGCCATAAAAATAAGTTGAGTATCTATAACTAAATCAAATTTGTTGTGTAGGGGAGGCCCACAGAGGCCTCCACAGAGGCCAAAATAAAAGACTATGGAGAGCTTGAGGCTAAAGACTACATTCCTGGAGCTGAGGTCCTGGAGGTGGAGGAGGAAAACAAAGAGGAAGAGGGAGATGAAGGTCAGCTACTGTTGTACTTAAGAACTATTGGTGTCCATTGTAGTGGTTAATACAGAAATGATATCTAGTGTTGTCCTGCACATACAAACTTGCGAGAGTTTTGATTTTATTAGCAATGCTATTCCCTATAATTCATCAGATGGTTGGGAGAGTGCTAGCATCAGTGATGAGGACGAGGACGGAGAGTGGGTTGATGTTCACCACTCATCTGATGAAGACGCAGGCGAAGTGGTGAGAATTGGGACACACAACCCGTCAGACGGCAGAAACCTGGTGATTTCAATTCAGTTTAAGCACTTCCGCAATTTCTCCAAGGCTGAGAAACTCCAGAGTATACCAGCTGAAGAGAGAAAAGCGAAGGCAGCGGCGGTCAGTGGCAGCCGGCTCCTCACTCAGGACGACTTCAAGAAAATCCGTCTCGCCCAAATGTCAAAAGAGGTCAATGCTGCTCCAGGGAAAGGTCAGAAGAGGAAAATGGCAGACAGTGACGATGAAGAGGACAAGTGAGTAACACAAAGTAGAACAATATTTAAGATCTGCCTTTTAAAATTTTGTCTCACTTAAAATCTTTTGTTTTTTTACCATTGATTGAGATTCTATATTATTGAGATTCAATAATATACAAAAAAAACAGCATTCAACAGAGTTCTGTCTAACCTTCTTACTTTGAGTCTTTATCAGTTTTTTTATATTAGGATCAGACACGACGTCACACTGTGTGTGAAAACCATTACTGTAAAGCACGGTTTCATAGTCATTTATAAAATGATCTTGATGTTATGTATTGATGAAAAATATGTTATTTTTTTCTTTAATAAAAAAAATAGCATCTGTTTGCTGTCAACATGTGGATTTGCTAACCTAGCTTTGTTTTTGTTTTGTTTTTTTACAGCTCAGAAAACAACAGAGCAAAATATTGAAATAATTTTTTACTCTTTTTCTTGAAAATTTCAGAGGGGAGCTGCTGACACTGAGACACATCGAGAAACTGCACAAAAAGCCAAAATCAGACAAAGAAACCCGACTTGCAACAGCCATGGTAACACCTTACGCCTGCTTTCAAATTTTACACTGAATCCGGAGTAACTGGATTATTTACCAATGGACACAGTGGAATAACATTTCTCACCAATATAATAAGCAGGTATTGATGACGACTGAAGGTATGTTTACTGTCTAGGCCGGACGAACGGATCGAAAGGAATTTATGAAGAAGCGGACCAAGCTGAACCCGCATGCCAGCACCAGCAACAAGGAAAAGAGGAGGAAGAAGAACTTCATGATGATGAGACACAGTCAGAATGTCAGAACAAAAGGCAAACGCTCCTTCAGAGAGAAGCAGGTAGCTCAAAATATGTATACTTTTTTATTTCAATCAATTTTTTATTTCAAAGGAATATTTTGACTTTTGGAATTTCACTTATGATGATTTTTTTTTTTCATCCAGCTTGCACTCCAGGCCGCCCTCCTGAAGAAGAAGAAGCAGTACAAGTAGGACAAGCATGAGACACTCATCACAGAAATGTGACTGGGTCAAATAATATTGCACATCCTTTAAATGGCATGTAAACTTACTGTCTTCACGTATTTTTGTGTGCAAATGTATATTAACATACACTCTTTTGAAATAAATAATCATTACTATTTGGATAATTTTGTGTGACTCAATTTTTTGAACATCCCAAATTTGAATACTAAACCAGAAGTTTTTGCAAAGATGTTATATGTACAGAAACGGTAATAATTGTTGCTTCCTTCAGTTTCCTCCTTTTCAAGCGAATATAATTTAGGTTTGTTTCATGACCTCGTTTCAGGTGTCCTCATTTTTACAACAGCTAGCAGGAATTCGCAGACACAACTCCGATATACTGTAAAGAAACTTATGCCAAGGTGCAAAGATGTTAATGTGTAATTTTATGAGACTTTATTGCACAAGTCAACAATGAATGTAATTACATTCTAACATTTTATGGTTTTGCCTGCTACTCTCTTAGCCTTCACTTTGGGTCTTGGTGTTCTGTACAGGAAGTCCTGTCCTGTTAGGCAATTTAAATGTCAGGATGAACTGCTGACAGAATATAATTGGTACTCCGTTTCAAAGTTGAATTTAGAACTGTTTCATCCGCCTATTTCTCTGTGATCCCAATTTGTATTTCAGAGAGAAACTTAATGGCAAATTACTTTGGGATTTGGAGATACAGTATTCATGGTCCAATAAAATTTAATTAGTTAAAAAGCCTTCAATAAAATTTCAAATAATTATTTTCACTATAATTGTCTTGTTAAGCATTTTTGTGAAATCTGGGGAGGAAAAGGAAATTATGAGAAAATACCGTATACTTCATAAATCTGAGTCTGGGAGAATGTCTTCAGTCTGTTACCAAGATGTTATTTACTGAACTACAATACCCATGAGGCACTTGCGGTCAAAACAGCCGTGCCAAAGGTTCCACTCAAAGAAGCCGGCATTTTAAATCTTTCTGCGATATGAGGTATCTAATTTATGTATGTTAGATATAACGTAAGGTTTTTAGAACAACTCACTGTAATCTCTATCATTCTGCTATGAGTATTTTGGTAGGTTCATGATTAAATCCTCGCCGTTCCCTGCCAAGCTAGCTGTCATGCCGTTCCTGTTAGCAAACAAGCTAAGCGTCAACATACCGTTAGCCTAGCTTCCTTAATCTATCATGTTAACGATCGTCGAAGCGATTAATTTGATCAATTGACGACGGATTACGAAAACTAGTGGTGTAGAAAAAGGATTGTAAACCACGTGGTGACTAGTTTATAACCGTACATGACAATCTGTGACGTGAAGTTTAAGCTGTGATTTAATTTTAGCTTTCGTGCTTTGTCTCAACAAACCCTTTTTATAGCTGCAGCACCTTTGTATAATATATAATGGTTTTTCCTCCCATGAGTCTTGAATGACAGTCGGGGTCTGATATGCTAAGGATCGTTTTAATCATAATGATTCTTCACATTTATCACAGCACTGAATAAATGGAAGATGTCCAATATGGGACATCTGAGACCTCAAGTATACAATTTACAGGAAAGAGTGGAGCACACCTGTGAACAGATATGTTTGCTTTAAAATGGGTAACATTTTGTCCATTTTATGAATGTTATTTGTGTCACAAGACATTGAAAAGATGTGAACAATATCCTTGTCAAAAACAGAAATACTTGTCAGCTGAAAAAGAATGAAAATCAATGTGAGCATTTCCAAAAGTCTGGATTGGAAAACATGGAATGGAAAAATATTTGATTATTTATCCAATTTGACAACATGGTAAATATTAACATTTCTAGAAAATAAGCCATTTTGTGGATTTAAAGTTGTAGCTGGACATAGGAGTGCTATATACATCCAAACATCTGTCAGTGTCTTTCTATCTTGTAATGTAAACTCTTCATCATTCCATTCCTGTGTCTCCATCAGTTCCTCCATTTTGCATTTCCAAGTCTCCTCTTGGTGTTTTATACATAATTAGGTAGCTTTTTTAAAATGATTATACAATTTTGGTGTGAATTTTTTGAATAAATATGAGTAGATGTACAACAAGAATCATTATTTTTTTGCACACATAATAGCAAGAGGCTTTGGTTACCTGTGAGGCTGAACAGTGCTGATCTGTTTTTTTAATTGAGCGGACGTAACTTAATGCCTCAAAATGTGGAGCTCTACAAAGTGAAACAGCTGGTGGAAATCTTTTGATTCTCAGTTTGTTTGATGGGACTTGATGTTTTCTGCTCTCATAGCTGAGAGGACTAGTGATGAGGGGTGATACACTGAGCCTATTCAGTCAGGCGTTCAAAGCTTAAAAGATACAGTACAGCTGCCATGAGGTGTGGGTGAAGTTTCCACATTGTGTTTTGTTCTCTGACTCTCAGTGACAAACGCTAAATGGTTGTCACTGAATGGCTGAATAATGTTTTCATCTGATTTATCAGCAGGTAAGATTTTTATGTAATCTTTTGTTGCAAAACAAACAGCGACTGTAATCATGTTTTTTTTTTTTTTTTGCTTTGCCTTTATCACAGGAAATCACACTATAACCCAGTTTCAGTTGCACATAAGTTTACAATATGTTATTGACCTCTTCAAAGTTGAGTTATAAAACTTTAGTCATATTTAGGATGTTTTGATGACTGCAATAAAATTTAATACTTGAATCAGCAAAGAAAGCATGGTCAAACTATAGAGCTCACTGTATTCAGATTGTTAGGTGACATAAAGTCCTGAAATGACAAATATTACTCCTATCCATATCTTTCAGCTGCTAAGCTGAAATATTTAGTCTGTTCTCATTATTATGGAAATTCCTCAACCTGACGTCTTCTGGATTTTTGGGGAAATGCAGCATAAGTTTGCTAGATTATTATTTATTTTTTTGTGCTTTTCTTAGAAAATGGTCAGTGCTGGAGAAAAAAGGCCTGTGGTAACATTGATGCTAAGCAGGGATGTCCCAGTCTGGCTCTCAAGATCTGCTATGCTCCAACTTTTAGATGCATCACTTGTTACCAGGCCTCTATGGAAGAGCCATTTGATTCAGATTTCAGATGTGTTGGAGAAGGGAAGCATCTAAAGGTTGCAGGATGATTTCTTGAGAATTGGACATTTCTGTTTGTAATGGTCTGAGATTTTCCTCTTTTTTTCCATAAATCTCTGGGCAGCTTTAATCATAACAATCCTCTCTAAACGCAGACTCTTAAGATCTGTCCAGTTGAGGTTTCTGCTTTTCCATGCCATGGTCTCTTTCCCCAAGTAGTTTATGCCGTTTCTTTCTCTTCACCTTTGCAGGTGTCATTTCCTGTAGCCCACCATGGCACCGGGGGATATGGTGCCAGAGCATGCCAAACAGCAGAAGTCCAAGGAGAAACGTCCAGGAAACAAAGCACCAAAGTCAGAATGTGAGGCGGATGGGTCATTTGTGTTTGAGGCTCATGAGGCCTGGAAGGACTTCCATAACTCTCTCAGGCATTTCTATGAAGTCGGCGAGCTGTGTGATGTCACGCTGAAGGTAGACAGAGACACGTCCTCCGTTTTCTCACCAGCATTGAGTTATACACACCATGTTTTCTATGTCATGTGTTCTGTGTTTCTCCTTTTTTATAGGTTGGCAGTAGGTTGATACCATGTCACAAGTTAGTTCTAGCTTGTGTTATCCCCTACTTTCGGTAGGTTTAGATTTTGTCTTATATACACAAGACATCCTTTGGTTTCTTTTCTATTTGTTTGAAACATTTGTCAGCAATTAAATTTTCACGTGGAAGCAATGAGCCTGATCTATTGCGACAATACCATGTGTGCCACATCAGTGGTAATTTTTAATGAGGACAATGTGGCTTTCTTGAAATTTATGGGTCATTTTGATGCTTTTGGTTGATCATGGTACCTGAAATGAGTTGCTGTTGTTGTTTTATCGCTTATTTTCAACCTGTTGAGTCACTATTCCACATTGTGGTATCATGATGGTAAATAAGTGATACTAGCTGGTTATACACAACATGCAACATAGCAGTTGCAGCTTTCTGTTTTTGTTGAGAGGAGTTTCTTTTTTTAATTTTAGGCAATAAAATTGCGCCACAAAATTAACCATTTTGATCACAAATTGGTTGCTTTTTTTAAAAAACGTTTTTGATCTCGTATATCAAAGTTTTAGGGCTTTGTTTTTCTCCTCAGGGCAATGTTCCTGTCAGACATGTCTGAAGCCAAACAGGATCTTATAGAGATTAAAGACTTTGATGGAGACGCCATCCAGGACTTGGTGCACTTCGCCTACTCCTCCAAACTCACTTTGACCGTTGACAACGTTCAGCCACTGCTTTATGCTGCCTGCATCCTACAGGTAAACTGAACTCTCTCTCAGTAAGCTCTGTAGTTTAATCCAGTGTATAATTTTGAATTTTATGTCATAATGTATGAATGTGCTTCTCTGCTTGTCTCTGTCAGGTTGAGTTGGTTGCCAGAGCTTGCTGTGAGTACATGAAGGCCCACTTTCACCCCACCAACTGCCTAGCAGTCCGAACCTTCGCAGAGAGCCACAATCGAGTGGACCTGATGGACATGGCTGACCGCTACGCCTGCGAGCACTTCACTGAGGTGGTGGAGTGTGAGGATTTCACATGCGTGTCACCCCAGCACCTCCGCACGTTATTGTCCTCTTGTGACCTCAACATCCACTCAGAGACACAAGTGTATAACGCAGCTGTGAAGTGGCTGAAAGCGAACCCACAGCACCATGAAGCCTGGCTGGACCAGATCATGTCTCAGGTTGGAGGATGAAGATTTTAGTGGTGTTTTTTATGGTTTTTGCCTTCATCTGCAAAGTTCATTCATGAAAAATGTTTACCTTGACCACAGATAGTAATAACGAATTCCTACACGGCACAGGACAGTAGGAAATTTAATTTAATTTTCTCGATTTGTAAGGAAAAGAAATGAATGCAATTATTTGTTGTCTGTCCTTTATTCTATTCAGTCATTTTTACTTTTTCTTTCCTTACTTATGTCCTTTATTTCTTGTCTGTTTTTTCCCTTATTATGTTTTCTTCTGGCCTTCTGTCCTTGTGTCTTTTTCTGGTCTTTTTTCTTGTCTGTTTTTTGTTTTCTAGTTCAGTTCATTTTTGTTCATTCT